TTAAATGGGTTTCACATTTACACTTGCAACTTGCACACCCACATTTCCCACCAGCTGAGGAGAAAGAGGCATGCCCCAACCACAGCGCTGCACGAGGCTGCGAGAGGCTTCAGAGGCGCGTGTGGGGACGCTGGCCCCGAAGGGCGGGGCTGCATCACACACGGGGCCCTGGGGGTGGCCTGCAGTGTCCCTTTGACCCTGGGACACCACACTTCTTCGTTGCGCAGAATGTCCTACAATTTCCCAACACGGGAAGTGTCGTCTGTGTTCCTTGTCTGGTATTCTCGGATTGCCTGTCTTTTCCGATTGGCTGAGCTTGATCTTGCGCACTGATTTTTTTCGTTACCTGTTCAAGTCAAGGTGGACTTTCTAGGACTTTGCCCGGGTCTCAGTGCAACGGTAGACCGTGGCCTTTGACCGCAGGCCGGCCCTGCATGGAGCCCAGCTCTGTGACCGGCTTGCAGCTCCGTGCTCACAGGCGAGCTCTCACAGGTCTCTGAGGCTGGGCATCCACGTCCAGAAGCCAAGGGTGAAGCGAGCTGGTCAGGGGCTGTGGTGAGGACTGAAGGTGACTGCGCCCATGAGAAGGCTGTGCCCAGTCCTCGGGCTTCACGCTCCACGTGTGAGCCAATCCTCCGAGGGGCCTGGCACGTGGCGAGAGCATGTGCTCTGCCAGGGCCTGTGGGCTGGGGGCGCATCAGAGGTGAGAATTTGCCCTGACGCTCAGACACTGCCATTCCCCACTTCTCATTTGCGGCGGGTGGTGCCCACGCCCTTCCGCCATCCAAGGAAATGTTTTAAAGTCTTTCCCAATCTTCCTGGGGCTCTGGGAGACTCTGGTCTGGGGGGACCAGCTTCCTGTCTGCACGCTGCGGCCTGGAGCTCTTTGTTCAGGCCTCAGTCAGAAAAAACCAGCACAGGGACCCAGAGACAACGCTTGGCAGGAGCTCGGCCACGACAGCCCCTTGTTGCCAGAATCCTTGTTCTCAGTGTGGGTGGCTCAGATGGCACTTAATTAAGTGCGTTTTCCTATAAGTTCTCAGCAGTGCGCTTATTTTTGCTGGTGGCTAATGACTGTGCCATCTCTAAGGCAACCCAACCTCGCAGCTCACAGAGAAGAAACCAGGGTGTAGAAACACCACATTGCTTGTTAGCGCCCAGCGGCTCTCCTCACCGGCCAGCAGCGAGGTGAGATTATCTGTCGTTTCTCCCAATCTGCACTTAGTCTTTCAGCGCTTCCCTCCCAGTGGACGCACCGACATGCCTGCATGACAGAAACAATTCCTACTATTTGGGGGCCGAGTATGCCTCATGCACTGTCGCTGGAGTCCCAGATTCTCGATCTAATTAAATTTCACAAGTCTTTGAGGTGGGTATTTGTGTGCCCATTTAGTAGTTGGAGAAAACAGGCCCAAGGAGTTTCCACGCTGTGGTCATTCAGCCGGGAGGTAGTCAGTGTGAAGCGTCATTGCTAAAGCCTGTGAACTTCCCTTTGTGCCCCAGGGACCCTGCTAAGGTTTTCAGATGGTCTCAACAGCCCCTCCTGGGGCAGCCCATCTCCAGAAACGACGTCTGCCTTGACTCAGGGCCACGTCTCGCCCCGAGCCTCCATCCACGGCAGGAGCACCAGGAAGGTCATCAGCGGCCGGTTGAAGCAGGTGAAACTCTGGGGTTCATCTTCCTCACGTTTCTGAATCACCACAGAAGTTTACTTGGTAGAGACAGAGCTTCTTAGGCACATTTTATATACTTGAAGACCAAGGTGAATGAACGTTGGCTGGCAGTTGTAAACTGGAGCAAGAACAGGGGAGGGGGTTGATGGGCTGCTCTCACCAGCCATGTGTGCTTTCCTGTCACATCTGCTTCCTTGGGGTGGTGGCTGGTGGGGACGAGCAAGATGTGAGCAGAGGAGTGAGTGGCACAGACTGCTTTTAACGTGTGTTCACAGCTCCATGCACTGTGCCGGACAACGACGGATAGACTTAACTGAACACCTTGTGCAGCTTCATTTAAAGGATGTTTTTCTGTGTCTGGTTTGGCAGCGTTTTCTTTCCATGTTTACAGATGCCATGCCTCGTCTTCTGCATTCCACTGTTGTTTTTGAAGTCAGCTGTGGGATGAATCTACTTCCTTGAAGGAACGTCCCCTTCCTGCTTCACTGCTCACAGCTCTCACTCCTGGATTGCTGAAGGTTCCTTTCGTTTTGATTTTCAGTGTGTTGACCTGTGATGTTTACAGCCTAGTGTAACTCAGATGGATCTAAGCGTGTTTCTCCGGCACTGCCTTTATCTAGTTTCGATTTCTTAGAGCTTCTTGCATCTATGGATTTGTGTTTTTACTGTCTGGTAAAATTTCTTGGCCAATGCCTCCTCAAATTTTGCTTCTGACCCTTTTCTGCCTCTCTTCCTCTGGAACTCCATTTCCATGGATGTCACACCTTTCCACCATGTGATGCGTTCCTCATGCTCTTACACATATTTTCTCAGTATTTTCCTCTCTTTGGTCAATCTTCCTACAAGCCTGTTTCCCTCATTCTCTCCCCAGCTCTGCTGTGTTCTCTGTGGAGCCTGACTCTGCATTCTTCATTGTGATAATTCTATATTTCATTTCTATCTTTTTTCTTTTTATAGCTTTAAAAAATATATCAGTTATCTATCTTTGCCATCTCTTAGATATTAATCACAGCTATTTGAATAGTCTGTCTGATAACAGAAAAACCCAGATCACCTGAGGGGCTATTACTATTGTCTTCAATTTTTTCCCTGGTTTTCATTCCTTTGGTCCTATTTACTAGGACTCCTGACAATTTATGGTTAGATGCTGGATATTGTGTATAAAAGTTGTATATTGTCTTAGTGATGTTATCTTTATCTTTCATGGAAGTTCCTCTTCTCACAGGCGGTCTATGGGGTCAGCTTGCCCTGTTTCCATCAGGGGCTTTGACCATCCATGTCCTCATGGAAAGGACTGTTCCTAGTCACCCCTCACCTGCAGTCCCACCTCCCAGGGCTCCCCCTCGAGGGCCCCTCCTTTCTCTCTGGCACCCTGAGTTTCCTGACAGCTCTGCTCAACTTTGTGGCCTCTTAGGCAACATTCTCTCCTTGGCTGCTTGGACACTGACCGCACGCTAGGTAGGAACTGGCAAACGCCTCAGGGTAGACACAGCACGGGGCCAGGCTCACTCCTCTGTGGCTTCTGTTTCTCCAGACTCTCAGCTTCTCCGGTGCTGCTGCCTTGGTGCGGGGACTCTGACCCGATCCCCAGTGAACGCGCTGAGTTCCTGCTTTCTCCACTTAGGACATAGCAGATGCTCTGGTGGAAAAGCCAGGAGGAACATGATGCTCAGTTGTGATTCCTACTTTTCCGAGAGCCTGGTCCCTAGAGTCCTGCTGACAAGGGTGCGGTCTACTATCTTTCAACAGCTCGTTTTGCATTTTGTCCAGATTTTATGTTCATCCTTGGGAGGATGGTCCGGTTGACACAATCTTCTTCCCTGGAGCCAGAGAGGAAAGTCCTAGAGCAACAACTCTGAGTTACAAGCTTTATTTCTCTTCTCTGGTCTCATTTAATCCACTTGGATAATGAAATAGACATTACCTGGTTTGTAGCACTGAAATCAAAATGAGGAAAACTGGGTTTCTTTCCAGAATCCATAGGAAAGTGTTCTGTGATGGTAGGTCTTCTGGTCCACTGTCCTGTCCGAACTATGCACATACTAGCTTGTCTATTTAATTGCTAGGGCTATTGAAATTAGTTAAATCAAGTAGAGAGACATTTTTTGGAAAAGGGAGATTTTTCTTGTTATTCTTCCTCATTCTAAGTTAGTTCCACATAGGGACTGAAAAGGAAATTCCCACATAAAATCTTTGCTACAACAGCCAACAGCAACCCTTCTTGCCCCGTGTCATGCCCACCTTTGCCACCTGTTCCCCCCGCACATTCCATCCAGGAAAATGGGGGAGCATGAGCAAACACTGACTCCATGTGAAGCTGCCGTTGGAGCCCAATCTGTTTCTGTCCTGCAGCATCTTTATGGTCCTTGGTTTGCGCAGCATTTGGAGTTGATTTCAAAATGTTTTCAAGAGAAATGCCTTTTTTCCCACAGGTGATGCTGACCTAGAACGTGCATGTCCGCTCCTCCAGCTGGAGGGAGGGGAGAGAGTCTGAGCAGGCTGGCTGCTTGCAGCCCGGCTAAGCGCACGCAGGTGAGCCGCTGGTGTGTACAGTCCTTGCCATCTCAGGAAGCCAAGGCTGAGCCAAGTGAAAGTGAAGTCAGTCAGTCGTGTCCGACTCTTTGCGACCCTGTGGACTGTAGCCCGCCAGGCTCCTCCATCCATGGGATTCTCCAGGCAAGAATACTAGAGTGGGTTGCCATTTCCTTCTCCAGGGGATCTTCCCTACCCAGGGATCGAACCCAGGTCTCCCACATTGCAGGCAGATGCTTTAACCTCTGAGCCACCAGGGAAGCCTTCTCTAGGCTAGCCTAATCTAAAAATAACACTTTCATCTCATTATTAGGCCGGTCATTAGCTAATGTTTTGCTGTGGGTTCAGGGCCCCAGAATAATTCATGCTTTGATGGTAGCATGGTTCCAGGTGTCTGACTCACTCCTCTGGCCCAGGGATGGGCCTGGCACAGAGCTGAGGTCTGTCCGGGGCCTCGGCTGGGACGGGGCTCGGCAAGCCCCCAGCCCTGTCTGTGCCACGCAGGTGGAGCTACACAAAGTCTTGCATTCCATCTGTCAAGGGGAGCCCTGTGATTGGAGCAGTGCAGGGAAAAAGTGTCTAAAAGTATTCTTTCTTTCTGCTAGTCGCACTAAGAGATTGAGTCTCATCGTTAATCCCAGTCAAGGGAAGCCAGGTCACTCTGGAGGTTGACTGGGGCGGCCGGGCACGGTGGCCTCTTTTCACCGTCAAATTTCTGGGTTGGGATCAGGCCCTTCTCTCTTCAACAAAGTCTCCTGGGCCTTGTTTGTTTGCTTGTTTTGTTTTGTACTACAGGAGACTCTCAGAGGACCCAGGCTTTTTATTCCGAAATGGCAGAGGGGAGGAAGGAAGAGCAGCAAGCAGCGTCTGCCGATGCCTGGCGCAGCCTCCGGGAGCAGAGATCCCGAGGGGGTGACTGTCGCCAGGAGGCCTGAGGGTGGCAGGCACAGGTGCCCTTCAGGGGGGTGCTGGGGGGACAGAAGGCAGGACAGCCCCCCACGGGCCGCTGCCTGAGTGACAGGTGACCGTGTTTGGTGACATGGAAGTGAAGAGGTTGTGGGTCAGGCCCGGCGGGACGTGGGGTGATCATGCGCAGGTTGGGGCAGGCTGTGCCTGGTGGCCGCAGGTCCCTGGGGCCCTTCCTTGGGGGACGTCGAGGACCCCCCGGCATCTGCCTGCCAGATGTGGGAGAACCCAGCCCAGCTGTGAAGACAGGAACTGTCCCCTGAGGCCATGGTCACTGTCGGCCGAGCGTTCCTGCTAGGAGGGAAGCCGTCTGGACCGGAGAGCCGAGAATCCTGTGCTTTTCAACCTCCATCCATCAACCCCAGACTCTTGCACACACTCGGCAAACAAACAAAAGGACAGCGGAAAAGCCTCGTCCGGGGGCAGAGGTTTCACTCCACCCAGGTCACGTCCACCGAGATGCTCCTGGCGGTCTGAGTAAACATCGCCACTTCAGGAGGGATGGGCACCTGTTCAGCTGCTTCCCGCAGTCCGTCTCCCACTGTGGTTCCCGTTCGTTGTCTTATTTTAGCTTGCTTGATCTCATTCAGCAGATGTCACATGTTTGCCAGTAAACTGTGTACACCTGGTGACCAGTGGCAGCGACCCCTAAGCCCGACAGTATTATCCAGTGTGTTTGGATCTCTGGTTAAGGTGACTTCGGCATAATGGGCAGCTATTCATACTGCTTTACTGAGCAAAATATGGAGGAAAGCCTGGCAGGAAGATTCAATGCGGCTCAAGGAAGCTGCCGTGACCGATCTGAAATGAAGAGACATGGCGACCTCTTGGGCCCCCGACCCGAGCAGGAGGTGAACCCCGGAATGTAGGCTCTGGGCTCCTGGCGGAGCAGGAGGGCTGAGTGAGGCAGGGCCCTGGGCCAGGAGAGGGAGGCCCCCAAGCTGGTCCCGGTGTGGCGTGGGTGGACGGCAGAGCCTAGACAGGTCCCCACAGTGCATCCCTTCCAGCGGGGAGGACCAGGGTTGGTGTCCCTGACCATGGCCCTAAATTCACACAGGGAGACCCAGCGGGGCCCCAGCGAGTGGAGGGCAGCCATGAGCCACCCGCCCTGGTCCTCAGGGCCTCACGGGGCCGACACGGGGAGGTGGGCAGCGGCCCTGCTGGGCTGAACCAAGATGCCCAGGACAGGTCCTAGAAGGAGTAGGCAGCTCCATCAGGGCCTCCCCCTCCCCCGGACACAACCTCCCCAGTGGCTGCCCCCCTGCCATGCAGGCAGAGCAGGAACACGACTGACCAGTGTTCTCATTAGACCTGATTTATTGACCTCAGAGCAGCCTTTGATCTCACGGACATGCGAGAGGAGAGAGGAGGGCGCAGGGCTGAGGCCGAGAACAGGTAGGGTGGGGGTGGGGGAGCGGGGAGGCCGAGCTGCCCCCCAGCACGCAGGCCTGTGTCGGGGGCGGACAGGGGGAGGCCTTGCACCGCCCCCAGGGCCGGTGTCGGGGGTGGACACGGGGAGGCCTGGCACCGCCCCCAGGGCCGGTGTCGGGGGTGGACACGGGGAGGCCTGGCACCGCCCCCAGGGCTGGTGTCGGGGGTGGACATGGGGAGCGGGCCTTGCACCACCCCAGGGCACCTCGTGGGCTCGCTGGAAACTCTGCGCCTCTGTGTTTGGCTCAGCGGGCGTCTCCCCGTCCCCAGGTCCGGATGCGTTTCCACATCGCCCTCAGGTCAGCTGGAGCGGTGGCCCCTCTCCCTTTAGGCGGTCACTTTCCAGCGGGGACACCCAGGGAGACTGCCCTGGGAGGCATGTGCTTTGTTTGATGGACCTTGTTGTTCTTACTGCCACAGCCTCAGAGGCTTTAATCAAAGGCTGTGTGGAAGCACTGCCAGCTAGTTAGCTGGTGATGCCTTGAGGGTGACTGACCAGGGCTGAAACCTTTCCCAGAGATGGTGGCTTGAGCTGTCCAGGAAGATGGACAGTGCACGAGTCACTTTCTGGGCGAGGCTCCCTGTTGACGAGAGCGGAGGAGCCGCAGGCTTGTTCATTGTGGGCCTGCAGGGACACGTCCGTCCCCGGGGCCGGGCCAGTGGGGGTGAGTGGCGGGCGTCTGGTGGCTAGCGGGTGTGGATGGGGCTCAGGCACCTCTGCTGTGTCCACGGGAAGCACCCAGAAGTCCTCGAACTGTGCTTTTAAGAGAAAGCTGAGGTGGGACTTGGGTGTGGGCTCAGGTCCCTGCGTTTTCATACCTGATTTATGAAGGAACCCTCCTTTCCTCTGAGCAACAGTGTCCCAAGCCCCAAGCCTGGGTCAGACCCTCTCAGAACCCTCCAAGCAGAGACTTGCAGCCAGGCTTGGAAAGGAGCAGGCGGTAATTACAGAACGTCCCTGAGGGGACCGGGATGGGCGGGGCTGTGAGTTACACCCTGGTGCATAAGCTAGCGGTAAGGAGGGCCTCTCAGGCCAGAAGGGCGTGAGCAAGCTGTCTGTCCCAGCTCCGGACCCCTGGGCACCTCCTCCTCCAGCCCCCAGCACTGTGTTCATCTAGCCTACAGGGCGCCTTTCTCCTTTTATTCTTGATGATGAGATTATCCAATATTGATGTCAACTGACTTCAACACTAGCTGTTACCTGGTTTGGTACCTGGTGTCTGGTTAATTCTGCATTTGTGCAATAAAGGAATTGGCTTGAGGTCTTACTGTTGACATGTGTAGGAATTTAGACAGAAGTTGGATGGATTCAACTTGAACTACCATCAAAAGAAAGGATTTGGTAATTAAATTAAGAATTAAAGAAAACTATGGGGATTTGATTACAACGTTTAAAGAGAATCAATTGTCTTAAGGCTCCTTTATGTATCCATTTACCTTCAAAAGAAAAAAAATATTATTTCATGTTTTCCTAAGGACTAGACATAAACATCAACATCTAGTTCTGTTGTTAAAATTGCAAGTTGAACTTACATTTTAAAATATATAAACTAGATTTTTCCTAAATCACATCAAATAGTGTAAGTTAGGGTCATTTTAACATTTTTATTGTGTTTTTAATATTAACAAAATGCTCAAATAAAGGTCTTGAATTGGCTGATATAAGAGAACTACCCTTAAATGTCTGAGGATGTGACCCCCTTTGAAAATCGGATCAGGGATACAGACTTCTCAGACAAGAAGAGGCCCAGACCGTGCGGCAGATGGTACGGGATTCCTGAGCTGGGAGCGTTTGTTTGCAGATGCCCTGGTTTTCAAGCCTGTGGGTGGACCCCTGGGCGCCTTCTCACCTAGTGTGAGAGCCTCTCCGGTCCACTTCCTTCTCACAACTCTAACACCGGCTGCCCAGTGATAGCGTCAGACCCTGCAGATAAGTGCTCAGCTCCACAAGATGCCCCCACTTGAGACCCAATCGCAAGTCTCTGGTGCTTCTGACCAACCAGCTGTAGATGTGAGGCTCCCAGGACCCCCTCCTCAGGCTCAACCAATTTGCTGGAGCAGCTCATGGAACTCAGAGAAGCGTATTACTAATGAGATCCCCGTGAATTATGAAGAAGGAAGCTCAGGGTGCAGGAGAACTCGGAGGGTGCAAGCCTCCCTGTCTCCCCAGGTGCTCTGTCCCCAGAAGGCCTTACACTCCCAGCCCCGGCCTTCTCCAGGCCTGTTTTCCGGGGGTTTTGGAGGCTTTGCTTGACTGATCAGATCACTGGCCGTTGGCGATCAATCCAGCCTCCAACCCCGGGGCTCAGAAGGGCTAGTGAGGCTTCTAACCCTCTTATTTCGGTGGGTTCTGCAGGCTGCCAGCCCCCTCCTCGGGTGCTTCCAAAGCCTAATCAACAAGACAAAAGGCAGCCTCATCATCTCAGCACTCAGGACTTTCTAAGTGTTTAGGAGCTCTGTGGCAGAATCAGGATAAAACAAGCATGTATCTCTCATAAATCCCAGTCTCACATATAGCAAAACACCTGTGAAACATTTGTGTATGGCAATGTGTGTGTGTGTATGTGTGTGTGTGCATGCGTGTGTGTGTATTTCCGAAGTGTATCCATGTCTCCCCTACCCTCATATTCAATGTGGTTTAGAATCCAGGCCTTCTCATGACACAAGGCACCTGTCTGAGGTCCATGGCCTTCTTTCTCTCCTTAAGGTGATGCTCAGGCACAAGGGTGGAGGCAGGAGGAAACCTCAGATGATGACCGGCGGCTCAGCAGGCCGGTCGCTGGGCACAGGCTTCGTCTTGGGACGTCCCCCCTCGGGAAGCAGGACGGGGGATCCGAGGTGGCCGGGGTGGGCCGTAAATGCAGACCCGGGACCCGGAGGCAGGGCTGTGCTGCCCACTGTGGCTCTGCTCAGGACGGGTCAGCGGGAAGAGCAAAGCCCCCGAGGCTGGAGACACAGGGGGAGATGCAGTCCTTGGGCTCCAGGAGCCAGGACCCCTGAGGCTCTCAGCGGGGGCCAGGCTGCACCACTCCTGCCTGGGGATGGTGTGGAAGATTCCGGAATGTTCCTCCTTATCCTCAGGCACGGGTCTGCACCCATGTCTCACCCAGACCTCTGAGGTGTCAGGCTTTCAGGCCAGACGGAGAATGTGGGAGCCCCGGACTTGCACCAGGCCGGCCGTCCTCCCGGCCCTGCACACGTCCCTGACCCAGTCCCTCCTGCCCTGCCAGCTGGACTGGCGCCGTCCCTGAGTGAGACGGTCCCGCTGGCGGCCTGTCCCTCCGTCTCATCACCGCCTCAGTGCACGTAGGAATGTTGGACACCCGGGGCCTCGTGGTTTCATGTGTTCAGATCCCACCAACTTCAGGAGGGCTGGGCACTCGGTCTCGCAGGACCGTACCCCGGCTCAGCTTGTCGCTGCTCTTGGGTCCAGGACACCAGCCCGCACCAGCCGCTGGTCCACCCCGCGTCTGTGGCGGGTCCACCCTGTCTCCAAGGGCCTGGCTTTGCTCCTGGGCTCAGCCTTGTCCTGACTCCACTCATTGTTCCTACTGTTTTAGTTTAGTCACTCAGTTGTGTCTGATTCTTTGCAACCTCATGGTCTGTAGCCTGTCAGGTTCCTCTGTCCATGGGATTTCCCAGGCAAGAACACTGGAGTAGGTTTCTGTTTTCTTCTCCAGGGGAATCTTCCCAACCCCAGGATCGAACCCACATCTCCTGCATTGACAGGTAGGCTCTTTAGCACTGAGCCATCTGGGAAGCCTGGAACAATGACCCCTCCTCATTTTAGCCGTTTATTTTGCTTTTTTCACCGGAGCTCAGCATTTCCAGTGTGAAGGGCCTGTGACTGACCTGCTTCACTTTTCCTATGCTCTTGGCCATTCCTTGTTAATATTCAAGGGCCTTTGGCAACAGCTGTCCTCAAGCAGAGGGTCATGATGATCCTGGGGTCTGCAGAACAGCAAGGGGAAAGCTGGCAGCCCCGTCGCTGTGGGGTCCACGTTGACTCCTGCTGAGAACAGGGGAGCAGGTGTGCCAGGTGAGGAGTGCGACGCTGGCTCTGCCCGGAGCCTGTTACCTACGCTGCCGTCCTCCCCACTCGCTGGAGGAGTGACAGGGTGCAGGGAAGGAATAAGCCCAGATCGGGCGTCTCTAGCCTTGCTCGTAACCAGGGGCGACACAGTGGTGTCAACGACTGGTCATGAAGCCTAAGCTGCCATGGGTCTCTGGGGATGCTGCTTCTTTCCTGATGAAAAAGGACAGATGGGGCTGGCGTGTCTGGGTCTTCTTCACACCTTGAATGGGAGTGTGACGGCTGGAGCTGCAGCTACAGTATTGCAACCCTGAAGGAAAATAGAAAACAGATGCAGAAATATGAGCCCTGGCCACACCCAGTGACTGAACCAACACTAGCAGGTACTTGCGTGAAGACTTATGTTGAAAATGCAACCCTTCTTTTTCATTAAGTGGCTTATTTTGAGCTGTGCTGGGGATAGTTCTTTCACTGCTGTGCATGGCCTATCTCCAGTTGCAGGGAGTGGGGGGCCGCTCTCAAGGTGCAGTGCTCAGGCTTCTCACTGCAGTGTCTGCTCTTGTGCAGAGCACGGGCTCTGGGTGCGCAGGCTTCAGTGGTTGCAGTTCATGGGCTCAGCAGCCTCGGCTCCAGGGCCCTTGAGAAAAGATTCAACAACTAAGTCACTCGGGCTTAGCTGCTTCATGGTTTGTGGGATCTTCTCGGATCGGGTATTGAACCTGAGTCTCCTGCATTAGCAGGTGGGTTCTTTACCACTGAGCCAGCAGAGAAGCCCCGAACTCTTCTTTTAAAGCCACTGTAGTTCAATCTTCTGTTACTTGCAGCTAAGTGCTTTCCTAACAGAAAAGCTCTCAGTATTTTACTAGAAGCGAATTGATATCAATGGCTGTTCTTCCTCTCATTGCAAACACAAGCACACATGTGTGTCCATTTGTCCTAAACAGCGTTTCTGGAAAGCTGTGTGTGTTCAACGCTGCCCAGGTTCACATGGACTGGACGGAGCTTGGCTGGAGGATTGGAGGGGTCTCTTCGCTCAAGCCTGCAGGGGGTCCAGGCCCGTGGGGGGTGGAGGGTGCGGCCCACGGGGGGTGCTCACCTCCAGGAGGGGCTCACCTCCAGGAGGGCTCACATCCAGGGGGCTCACCTCCAGGGGGGGCTCAGCTCCAGGAGGGACTCACCTCCGGGGGGGTTCACCTTCAGGACAGGCTCACCTCCAGGAGGGACTCACCTCCAGTCCACTTCCCTCTGGGCCGTGCCCTCCCCCGCCTGCCTGCTCTCAGAGGGATTAGTGTGAGGGCTGCCCATTTACCTGTCAGACTCTGACATGGTCAGACTTGAAAATCATGACTTTTCCTTGTCCCAGACGTGAACAAATCAACCCTGATCCTCCGCCTGACACTCCCTCGCTAATAAATTAGCAGAGTTTACATAACCCACAGTCGGCAGTTTGCGCTGGGCGCCACCGGCCCAATTACGCTGCTCACGTCCTCCAGGGGAATTTTCCTTCTGTTCAGAACGCTTTGGACAGCGAGCAGCTGCCCCTGGCTGTAAAAGGGGGTGGCCAGGGGCCAGCCACCTCCACGCATCACCCTTTTAATCGTCCTAAGAACCCCCGGGGCAGGGGCAGGGAGTGGTACTGTTATCTCCTCCACTGACAGATGAGAAGAAAGAGGCTCCGAGGTGTTGGAGTGCCAGGTCTGTGTCCTGGGCTGCAACGTCTCCAGGGAGACAAGCACCAAGGTCCGGATCTCACCCTTCTGGGCTTTCGAGGGGCTTCGTCTCAGGGCATGAACACATGTCAGTGATGGAGGGACTCGACTTTGGAAAGGTGGAACAAAAGGTCACGACAGGACTCCTTTCCCCGGTTTCCTCCACTTGAAGGAGGAGACGGAGCCCTGGGCCAGATGAGGCCCGTTTGGGGTAGGAAGCCACCAAGCTCAGTGCCCCATCCCCCAACTCCTCTCAGCGCAGGTGGTCATAGGGACTGAGCTTTCCCCCCAGAACCATTCCTGGTCCCGGTGACCGAGGCCCTCACAGGGTCCTGGGCAATGGGCCCCTTTCCCTGTTGCTGTGAGGGAGCCAGCGCTGCAGCGGGTGGGGCGCTGACGCCGGCCACTGGTGTGTCTGCACAGCAGCCCGGGCCCCCGTGAAGAGTGAGCAGCTGTGGCCTGGGGGACAGGTCCTGAGCCGGCCTGGGGGGGGGGGGGGGGCCCGCCAGGCTCGCCCGCGAGCAGCCGCCCCCAGGGGAGGGCCCAGGCTGGGGCTGCTGGGCTGGCTACAATCTGGGAGACACACTCGCACCTGCTGTTACAGAGCACAGAAAACTGCGGTCCTCTAGATGCAGCGACTGATGCCATCTCCAGAATGCCGGAAAGAGGCTGTTTCTTTAAGGAAGAGAACTGATGGTGTTTATGAGCCAATGATAAACTGAGTTTTGAAGGGAAAACTAGAATTTTGGGAAACTTTTGTCTACCACTATAAGCAAGGTGATCAAAATAATCAGTCCTAAAGGAAATCAGTCCTGAAGATTCATTGGAAGGACTGATGCTGAAGATGAAGCTCCAATTCTTTGGCCGCTTGGTGGGAAGAACTGACTCATTGGAAAAGACCCTGATGCTGGGAAAGATTGAAGGCAGGAGGAGAAGGGGATGATAGAGGATGAGATGGTTGGATGGCATCACCACCTCGGTGGACATGAGTTTGAGCAAGCTCTGGGAGGTGGTGAAGGACAGGGAGGCCTGGATGCTGCCGTCCATGCGGTTGCAGAGCTGGACACGACTGAGCGGTGAACACACACTTATGAAAGCCGTTCAGGAGTCCCTCCATAAACTGTAAGCATGCAAAGGTGCCCTGACTCCAGTAAGCCTGGAATGACTGTTGAGGAAAGTTTTAAAGGTCTTTATGGGGATGGGATGAGGTTCCTAGTTCTCTTTCTTCCTCTGGTGGCTGGAAGATGGGAGGCTGGACTCTAAAATGTGACTTGCACTTTGCCATCTGGTGGAGTTTGATGTTCCCTTGGGCCCCAGCATTACAGCTTTCATTTTCTCCGAATTCTCTCCTGTCATGTGACTGACACTGGCTGAGCTGAGAACACACACCTGGGCCCCAGGAGCTTCGGTCCCCGCGGCACCCCTGTCCTTCACACCCACAGTGGACCTGCTGCAATTGGAATGTGCCCGCTCGGCTTTTCCTGGCAGGGACACTGGTTTGGAAAGTCTGGGACTTTTAGTGCCTCTGTGTCTCCATCAGCAAAACAGAGCAAGAGCCAGCGCCGGGCTCGTCCCCTCGCTGTCTGGTGACGTCACGCAGCAGCTTGGAGTCGGCCGTAACTGGCAGCATTTCTGCCAGAGAAGCTGGCAGACGCTATGAATCAGGGATTCTGTGTCTCCAGAGAACCAGTGATTACATATTTACCAGCATATCTCTGCTTTCTCCTCTTACCTTGCAGAGAAATCAAAGCAAAGCAACAGCACCTGGGTTGAGATGCCCAGTGGTAACAATTGTTACTAGCTATGTGGTGTGTGAACGGAGAACTTCCAGATGGTCAAGCTGGATTTAGAAGAGGCAGAGGAAACAGAGATCAAATTGCCAACATCTGTTGGATCATAGAAAAAGCAAGAGAATTTCAGGAAAAAAATCTACTTCTGCTTCATTGACTACACTGTAGACTTTGTGTGGATCACAACAAACTGGAAAATTCTCAAAGAGATGGGAATACCAGGCCACCTTACCCACCTCCTGAGAAGTCTGTATGCAGGTCAAGAAGCAACAGTTAGAACCAGACATGGAACAATGATCTGGTTCTAAATTGGGAAAGGAGTATGTCAAGGCTGTATATTGTCACCTTGCTTATTTAACTTATATGCAGAGTACATCATGAGAAATGTTTGGCTGGAAGAAGCACAAGATGGAGTTAAGATTGCCAGGAGAAATATCAATAACCTCAGATATGCAGATGACACCACCCTTAAGGCAGAAAATGGAGAACTAAAGAGGCTCCTGATGAAAGTGAAGGAGGAGAGTGAAAAAGTTGGCTTAAGATTAAGATTCAAAAAATGAAGATCGTGGCATCTGGCCCATCACTTCATAGCAAATAGATGGGGAAACAATGGAAACAGTGAGAGACTTTATTTTCTTGGGCTCCAAAATCACTGCGGATGGTGACTGTGGCCATGAAATTAAAAGATGCTTGCTCCTTGGAAGAAAAGCTATGACAAACCTAGACAGCATAGTTAAAAACAGAGGCATTACTTTGCCGAAAAAGTTCCATCTAGTCAAAGCTATGGTTTTTCCAGTAGTCATGTATGGATGTGAGAGTTGAACCATAAAGGGAGCTGAGTGCCAAAGAACTGATGCTTTTGAACTGTGTTGTTGGAGAAGACCCTTGAGAGGCCCTTGGACTGCAAGGAGATCCAACCAGTCCATCCTAAAGGAAATCAGTCCTGAATATTCATTGGAAGGACTGATATTAAAGCTGAAACTCCAATACTTTGGCCACCTGATGCAAAGAACTGACTCACTGGAAAAGACAGTGATGCTGGGAAAGATTGAAGGCAGGAGGAGAAGGGGACGAGAGAGGATGAGATGGTTGGCTGGCATCACTGACTCAATGGACATGAGTTTGAGCAAGCTCCGGGAGTTGGTGATGGACAGGGAGTCCTGACGTGCTGCTGTCCATGAGGTCGCAAAGGGTCAGACACGACTGAGCGACTGAAATGAAGTGAACTGAAACAGTGAACAGAGCCTCCTTATGTTTTTAGTTTCAAAGTGAGTGCTTCTGGGGTCCACACGTCAAGTTCACCCAAAGGCCTGAGGACATCCTCTTGCTGATGGGGGCCCAGAGGCATGCGCTCTGGACACCCGGGGTTCATCTGGGTCACCATTCTGCCTCTGAGCATGAAAGCTCCTATCTGGTCCCCCAGGCTCCCCTAGGAACCAGTGTGAACGTTTCTTTAAGTGGTTTATTGCCAAGGTTTAGAAACTAGTTTATTTTTACTCATGAGTGATCTTAAGCAGATTTGATTTAAAGCCCTTTGATTCTGTAAATCCAATTTCATTTAGGAAGGAGGAGGAGGAGGCTGGGGAAGGAGGGAGAAAAGAAAAATGAGGCATGTTGTTCATTTAAAAATAGCACTTATTTAATTACTTTTTCCAGGTTAATTTTGCCATTAAATGAGGAAGCACGATATTAGTTTGGTTGTGTGTGAACCATTACTAATTGAAGTGGATACTTGTCAAGTCATTGCAAGATGAAACATCTCTAATTAAACGTATTAATCATGGTTTTGGGGGGGGGATATTTTTACACCCTGTGCTTATTAGGAGAATGGACACTGTCACCGTTAAATCAGACACATTGAACTTGTTTTGCTCAACTCAGAGTAGCAGGCTCATGTATTCTGTGTGTTTTCCCAGTGTTTATTTTTGTAAGAACAGAAGATGGATTTTTAATCTGCTTCATGTTTCTAAATGTTACATGCAACTCTTTAAAATAAAACTCAAATGGGCTTCCTTCCCAGTTGACGTGGAAACAGAAGGTGATGAATTACGTCGGCAACTTCTCTTCTCCGTCCTGGTCTTTCTTATCTTTGAACCAGAAAAGAGACACACGCAACTACTTTTCAAAGCATTAAATGATTTTCTTTAATTTTAACTAAATTAATTCAAGAGAAGAAAGTGTTCCTCCAGCTGTAGAGGTTCTGATATTAAAATCACTTCAGGGACTGCTGTGACTCTCGGACCTTAATCGTCATTCGTTCTCACCCAACTGCGATTCACACCGCGTTCCCAGGCGCCGAATGGCCGGGCGTCTGGAGCCCAGCCAGCCCCCATGGTCACCACTCCAGCGTAACTGCCTTTCCTTCCCAGCACTTAGACTCTGATGCTAGAACTGAGCGTGTGGAAGAGGTTCAAGAGAAGGATGTGGAAATAAGGTACTGTGGGCTCACACTGCTGGGTGAGCATCTTGATGTTCCCCAGGACTGTGTCGTGTTCTACGAAAAATAAGGATCCCGTCACGAGGACCACGGACATAGCACTTGCGGGAACTGGCAGGAAGCCGGACTCTCCTTGGAGGTCGCCGGGCACACACGCTGTGAAGACAGTCAGAGGGCAGGGGTCCTGCTGAGGGTACCTGGACTCCAGGCCGGCAGCCCAGAATTTTCCAGAATTTTCTCTTGAGAGGGGCTCATGCTTAACAGGAGCTCCTGGAAGGCTCCCTCTCCTGAGGTGTGCGCCTTCATCTCGTCTCTTTGGTTAGACTGTGAGCTCCTGGGAGGATGGGGAGGAGGACTTAGATGAGGGTGCAGATGACTCTGATGAGACCAGAGACAGAGAGTACAGCTGAGCCCCTGTCAGCCCGGCAGCACCGAAGGCAGAGTGGGTGTGTTTCGTTGCCTGCAAGGACACTCTTTGGGAACCAGGGCACATCTGATCCCGGGGGAAGCTCATGATCGAGGTGGCATCTTCTCCATGATGTTGGTGAAGGGAGAGCTGGTCCCCCACCCCACCTCATCCTACTCGTGCCTGAGGGGCCGGCTCCCGGCTCCAACCACAGGCAAGGCGTGGTTCGGCAGGTGCGAGAGGAGACAGGAAAAGGAAGGAAAGCAGGACGAGGAGAGGGGACAGAGGAGAGGAGGACAGGGCAGGAGATGAGGGCCCGGGGAGGGACCGCGCTGTGAGGTCTCCAAACTCACGCTCCTGGAAATTCTGTGAACAATGATCCACTTCTACCTTTTCAGAATTTGCCAATTTTCAGTTCTTTTATCCATGGTGGCTGCAAGAAGCCCGGGTCAGGCGGAGTGTCAGCGCAGTGGACACTGAGCTGCTACGTCCCAGGCTCAGAACCCAGTGGATTTGCTTCTTGGTTTCCACACGGCCTCACATTTTATGATTGCACTTGACGCCCGCTTATACCTGCATTTTATTCCACCCTCCAGCTGCTGCCTTCATGTGGCGGCCTGAGGCTGACCCCTAACTGTTACCTGCTTTCTCTCTTGTGGGGTTTGGGGGTTCGGGTCACAGTGACCTGGCCTTTGCTGCTCCTCCCGAGGAGCCCCGCCCTTACAAAGGCTCAGATAAGTTTTCAAAGGTCAGAGGATGAAAGCCATCTAGGCATTTGATGCGTATTTGCATATGCATTTAACTTACTTGGGGGGAGATAAAGAGGAGCTATTACCCAAGCAAATATAATAATTGTCCTACTTAGCGATAAAGCTGGAATTGGCATTTGAGGGGACTCAGAGTCAACATGTCGCACAAATATTTGTGTAAGATGTAACTACTGATGTCACCTACTTGAGCTGCCTTAATGAACCGCATTTTAATTATCACTCATGTTTGCTCCCTTCTGGGCCTTTGTGCTTACAAACACAGATAGCCGCCGTTTATTGTGTTGAGGGACAGAAATGACCAACAGCCATATGCCAGGCCCTGGATCCCAAGTCCGGTCCTCGGGTGTGAGCAGAGCTGGGTTTGGCAAACCTTTCCTCTGAAAGGCCAACGGCAGCCACTTCAGGCTTCATAAAGCTGGTTCCGAGGAGGCTGGCCCAGGGGCAGCATGGACAGGGGTGCGGCTGCGCACCTAGAAAGCTCCGGAAACCGCTGAGCACCCTCAAGACGATGAGAACGTTTTAGAAAACAGAAGTCAGCGGGGAGCACAGGGCAGGTGGCTGCTGGAGTCGCCGAGTGGGGAGTCTGAGATCACACACCGCTGACACCTTCTGATGCCCAGAGGCTTTCGTTTTCTCATCTTATTTCTTGGGCTTAGCTCAGCAGCCAGGGTGGCTGAGGAGGGGCGTTTCTGAAGATGGGGTCACTGGGCGTGGCCGTGTCCCTGCCACTCCCGTCTGCACTTTACAGAGGCTCTTAGGCTGGAGAAGCAGGGCTCGGACACACCGCGGTGAGGGGGCAGCCACGCAGACCACACAACGTACCGTCTGGCCCAGAAGACGCCTGGGGGACCCTATTGCACAACGTTAGCTGAGGTCACCGCTGGAAGGGACAACACGAGGAGGTCAGCCATGTCATCACACACTCGATCAGCACCCGTGTGCTGCATCTGTTGTTCACAGATAAGCCTGATAGATGTGCAATCGTAAGTTACGAATCATCATGCCCCCGAAATAATCCTCACGGTGTGTCCTGAATTTCTCGAACCACCTTCCCCAGCCCATGGTCCTCACAAGGGGCTGCTGTTTCACCTCCGGGGGCCCCAGAAAAGTGCATGAGCGGACCGGGGAGAGGTGAGGAGGCTGCCTGGGGACAGATTCTCTCACAGCGGAGACGTAAATGAGCTCCTCATTGAGTTTTCAAGTGTCGATACTCACACCGTGGACGGCTTTCCCATCTGCATGGACTAGCAAAGGTTTGGAGGACTCAGAGGCCATCCGCCATGGTCCCCAAGCCTGGGCCTCACCCCACAGTTTACACCTGCTGTCAGCTTCTACCCTAATGTTCCAGGCTCTGCTGATGCTTATTCATTGTCCAAACAGCCCCCCAGGTGGACTTTGTAGGGTCAAGAGAGACAAGAATGTGGGGTGTGCTGAGAGGTGCCCGGGTCGCTGGGCCCCTCACGTGAGAAGCAGACTGGATCCTGTCAATGTTTACGTCCTGACTTTGAGCCATTTTCCAGGTTCTCTTGCCATTTTCTGTGCAGTTGGCGGTCTTCCAGAGAGACGCTCGTTTTGTAAAACGTGCCATAGTGTGAGTCTGAGGACCCGTTTGCTGTTCCAGGCTGTGCTGTGGTCCCTGGGGCCCAAGGGGCGGGAGGGAGTGTCTGGAACGGCATCCAGCCCTGGACCCAGAGCCCAGTGGGCCCTCTTCTCATTGGGGTTGGGCCCGGTGCCCGCGAGGGCGGCCTGCTGGGCACTCATAAAGGACTCAGCACACCCCACACTTGCTGGAGGAGGAGTCCCACTCCAGGGCCTGGTGAGCTTGTTCCTGAGCCTGGAGAGCTGCTAGGGGCCGTTTCACACACACGTGTCTACGGGAATTCCCACCCCATCCTCTGTGGACCGAGGGTTCCTGGCGGGAAAGATGAGGCTCTGTCTTCAGCAGGCGCTCTCACCTGTCGAGTCCCTGCTCCCGGAAGGCGGGGCTGTGGGTTTACAGGACTGACCTGCTGGCGGCCTGGTTCCTGTGTGGGCAGGGCCTAGGCCTGTGGCAGCTGTCGGAGCGCAGCGCTTGCAGGCAGGGATGTGGAGGCCTGGCACAAAGCCTGCAATTCTTGACCACGCTGATGGGGTGAGCATGCTGGGCTGGCGCCCAGTCGGTGCGCTTTATGACAGGGATTCACGCGCCCCGGCCCACACCACCACTCACCCACCTCCCAGCCCTCGTGGGCAGCAGAAGCTCCAGGAAGGCTCCGGGGTGGAGGAGCCCGGCCTCTGGGTGAGGGTCAGAGCGGAGCCCCGAGAGAGTGGGGCCCTTGCCAGATCTGAGGAGGCCCTCCACCCGGTGCAGGAGAAAAGCTCTCGCCTTCTCCCCAGACGCCTGGAGGGAAGACTGACTCAGAGGGAGCTCAGGGCAGGGGCTGAGTCACAGTCAGGAGTGTGTCCTGGTGCGTCTTGACTCTCCTCTGGGAGCTGGGAGCAGAAGCCCCGAAGGTGCTCTCCACACCCCCGCCTTCTGGTGGGGGGCGCAGGCCACCCCGTCCTCGAGGGGGGACACGCGCATCCCTCCTTTCGTGCCTGGGCTGTCTAACAAGGCCATGGCGGGAGGCGCCCGGGGCCCCATGGGGGTGACCGGGCCCCAGGAACCCGTGCATGGGCGCTGTGCACACTGGGGTGGTGTCAGATCTGAGCGGGGAGTGTCCTCGGGGTGTTTTCCTTCAGATAATTCTGATATGAAAAGGAGCAGTTTATACAGTGGCCCTCGCTTACTCTGCTATATTTAGCTGTTTAAAAAAACCTTCTCTCTGATCTTTCATGGGAACGGTCCTCTGCCTGGCTCCTCTGTGACCCACTCTGGGTGTGACGACCCAGGCTGGTCCCGTGGATAAACAACAAAGGTCCTGGAAGGTTAGTAGGCGTCTCCGGTCAGGGAGGGTGATCGTACTCCATGCGGTGGGGAGGAAGGAGGAAGATCGCTGCTCTGAGTGACAAGGAGGGTGGAGAGAATGTCTCGTTGATGGTTTTCAGCTTCCTGCCGCACTGGTCCTCTGAAGTGAGGCAGACCCCAGCAAGGGGGCGTGGGGGCGGCCGGGTCTCAGGGGCCTCCACTCAGGGGTCCCTCCATCCTCTCCAGCAGGGATGGTAGACCACGAGGCCCTGCCTGGAACCTGCTCCAAAGTGAGCACGTGCATTTGTTTTAGTCTCATTTTAGAGTCATTTCTGCAGCTTTTTATAATCATGTACTGTATTGATACGATCGAATATATGCTTATACATAATTCAAAAATAGGTAAGTATACACCTTCAGGGTAGAGATATTCAAAGATTTTTCAGGAGGCGGGGTAGAGAATGCAGAAGTTTGGTGGCCGCTGTGTCAGTGGACGCACGTGGAGAGCGTGGCCCATGACACCACAGTGCACTTGCCCCCAGGAGGCGGGAGACGTGGGGCCTTGCAGACAGGTGGCTGCTGTTGGGACGGGGGCGCCAGGGCTGCCAGCTCCCACACCAAGGACGTGGGCATCACCCCAGGCCGCCCTCCCGGCCCGGGCTCTGCAGAGCTGTCCACTGAAGTATCTATCAGGCCCTTCACAGACCAAGTCCATCCCCACCTGGCCGGTCTCAAGTTTGGCTTCCCTTCTTCCTCTAGGGAGGTTCAGTGTCTTCCTGTAACAAACATCTTTTCCTTTCTGTCTCCCACAAATAGATTCGTCAAAATAAAAATTAAAAATAAACCCACAAAACTAATTCATCACACAAGAAAGAAGAAAGTCTGACCAAAGATAGGACTGACTGAGTCTCGCGTCCATGATCAAGCTTGCTTGGTTTGGGGTTTGGGGTTTGGGTTTCACTCTGATGCTTGTGAAGGCTGAATGGAACCTGCTTGTGAACTGAGGCTGTACAAGGCTGGCTGAGATCTCAACCAGGGTCACTTGAAATCTGCAGATCAACTGAGGAGAACTGACATCTGGACAATGCTGCATCTTCCAAGGGGCAAGTTGTGTCTCTCCACTAGCTCAGGATGTGAGTCCTCGTTGCAGAGTCGCACGGGTCTTACACTCCTGTGTCGGAATTAGGCACACGTTTGATGCCATAACAGACGCTGGTCTGTTTTTAGTTAAAAGCCCCAGGTGTTCCTCATTCATTGCCTGGCACTCGTTTCCTTGTGTTCACGGAGGATGGGTTCCAGGGTCCCTGAGGGTGCCCAAGTCCAAGGAGACTCGAGTTCCTCTGTAAAATAATCTACACATGTTCTCCCATAAGCTCGAAGTCATCTCTGGATTGCTGCTAATACCGGATACAGAGTACGTGTTATACAGATGCTGGTAAATGCAATGCTGTATATAGAGTTCCCAGCACATGGGAAATTCAGGTTTTGCTTTTTTAAAATTTTTGGAATTAAAAAAATATTTTTGATCTGTGGTTGAATCTGAAGATGCAGAATATATGGATACAAAGGGCTGACTGTGTAAAGAAATGCATTTGACTTTTTAATATTGATTTTGTGCCCTGCACTCTTGATACTCTAACTTGTCAATTCTTGCATCATTTTAGGTAGAGCCCATTAGATTTTCTGCATAGCTGATTGTGTTGTCTGTAAATAAAACAGGTTTAGTTCTTCCTTCCTTATCTGGGTGCATTTGATTTCCTTTCCTTACCTGAATGGACTCTCAGTTGCCTGGCACAACAGCGAGTAGAAGCAGTGAAAGCCACGACCTTGTCTTGTTCTTGATCTTAGAAGCAAAGCCATCAGCATTTTACCCTCAGGTGCACCTTATAGAGTGAGGAAATTTCCCTCCTATTTCCAGCTTACTGTGAAGCCGGATTTTGTCAAATACTCCTGTGTCCATTGAGATCATCAGGTGGTATTTTTCTCTTTCAGTTTCTTAATATGGTAAAATATGTTGATTGATGTTTGAATGTTAAACCAACCTTGCATTCCTGGGTTAAGCCTCACTTAGTCTTAATGTGTGTTTGTGTGTGTGTGTGTGTGTGTGTGTGTGTGTAGTATTTGATTTGCTGATATTTTGCTTAGAATATTTGCATCTGTGTTCATATAGAAACATATACATGTTCTGTGGCCCAGAAAATAGTCTCGGTGAGTGTACTTGGACGGGACGAATGTTCTGTCAGTGTCAACTAAGTCAGGTTGGTTGATATTTTTGCTCAAGTCTTCTATATTTTTGCTGATTTCCATCTATTTGTTTAACCACTTCAGAGAAGAAGTTTCTGGTATCCCCAGCCTTGGGAGTTTTGTCAATTTTTGCTGGTGGAACCCTGTTACTGAGGGAATGCACTGCAGGATTGCTACATCCACTCCTGTATCACTGCACAATGACCTGCCTGCTCTGGGAACATCATTTGTTTTGAAATTGTTCTTGTTTGATATTGAAGTCATCATCACAGCTTCTCTTGACAGACATTAGCATATCTGTTTCCATCCTTTCTCTTCTTACCATCAGGTGATACTTCCTATGGATGTGAAGAAAACAGACTCTAAATGACCAAAAATCTGCTTGTTTGGGATATTTTTAAATTAACTGAATATGCAAAAAGTTGAGTTTGGTGTAAGCAGGCTTTTGAGCTAATGCTTCTTATTGTACAGTGAAGAAATAATACGGGGGTGATCCACAGAGGCTGGTGTTTGGCTCATTCGTATAATCTGTCAATAATCAGAGAGTTAAATCAGTTTGTCAAGAAGGAAAATTAATTCATTTAAAATTATCAGAAACTCTACACACAGCACAGATCATATCCAGAAATTGGTAGTTTGCTTTATTTTCAAATTTTAGGATCTAGGTTGACTGTATTTATACATCAAAAATCAGTTTGACACTTATCAGTCCCATGAGGATTTTGTTCCTATTAGAAGTCATATAGCTTAGAGTAAGCTGGAGCTGGGGTTAGAAACTCAGAAAACGGGAAAAAGGAATATGGCTCATTCATAAGCCTCAGGATTCACCAGCCCAAATAGGAGCTGAATGTGTCTATTAAATCTGCCGGCTTCTGTCTTTAGGAGACTCCATTCACCCTCCTCACAAGCCAGTGGACACTGCACATGCATCTCTGCCCAAGAGGAGCCCTGGGAAGGCAGACCACAGCGGGCACCAACGGGCACAGCGAGACCCTGGCTCAGGAAGCAACAGGTTAGCAGCACGGGAAGGTGTGTGAAATTAAAAGATGCTTGTTTCTTGGAAGAAAAGCTATGACCAACCTAGACAGCATATTAAAAAGCAGGGACATCACTTTGCTGACAAAGGTCCGTATAGTCAAAGCTATGATTTTTCCACTAGTCATGTATGGATGTGAGAGTTGGACCATAAAGAAGGCTGGGTGCTGAAGAATTAATGCTTTCAAACTGTGGTGTTGGAGAAGACTCTTGAGAGTCCCTTGGACTGCAAAGAGATCAAACCAGTCAATCCTGAATATTGAAAGGAAATAAGTCCTGAATATTCATTGGAAGGGCTGTTGCTGAAGCTGAAGCTCCAATCCTTTGGACACCTGATGTGAAGAACTGACTCAATGGAGAAGAGCTTGATGCTGGGAAAGGTTGAGGGCGGGAGGAGAAGGGGGCAACAGAGGATGCGGTGTTTGCATGGCATCATCAACTCAATGGACATGAGCTTGAGCAAACTCCAGGCGATAGTGACAGACAGGGAGGCCTGGCGTGCTGCAGTCCATGGGGTTCCAAAGAGTTAGACGTGATTGAGCAGCTGAGCAACAACAGCAAGGTGTGTATTCGAGCCATGAAAGTGAACCAATCAAATTTGGTTCTCAGGCTGTGACCCCCTCTCTGGTATTGCAATGTTAGTGTAGCAGTGTGTTGGGTTTTATAGCTCAACTCAATGGGTCATAGCTGTTTAGTGCTTTGGCAAACATCTTTCCTGACTCTAAACAGCCCTTTACTGATTGCTTCAAGTCTGGGAACAGACTGAGTCCCTGGTCACAGGACGTCTGGCCTCCCTCACACTTGCTCCCTCACACGGCCTCCTCTACCAGATGTTTCTGTCACTTCATAGTATGGAACTGAAATATCAATAGCACACTTGACTCACTAAAGTTATCTGAAGTTCACACACAGCCCCACAAGGTAAAACTGCTAAAATTTCCAGCTTGGGATTATTTGCAATGAATTGCTCTCCTGTGTTACAAATTTCTGAGTATACCCAGGGCGAGTGATACCAGGATTTAAAATAGACCAGCCAAGCATCCGTGGAATTCTTGAAGCCACAATGAAGTAACATCTCTCAGAGGGATTTTTGCAATTCACTTGATCTTACAAAGCAGGAGGCTATTTTAGAACATTCCATCCACTGTATATAAAGCAAGCCGCATTATTTAAGATAATCAGAACTTCTGTCCAGCTCAGCCCGGTTCTAGCCACTCTGTTTACCCCACAGAAGTGCCTTTGGAGCCTCTGCCCAGACGCTCACTTGTACATGTCTGCACAGACCCGCTCACGCCCACCGCGAGGCGCGTTTCCCCTCCATGGATGTGGCAGGCGCTGTCTTCCTTCAGTGCAGGCGCGTGTGAGTTGAAACACATTAATCACTTTTCCAAATCCTTCAAGAATTTGTGTAATGATTTCAGTAACCTAGATGTCAAAGCAGGTGGGCAGTCTGCCAACAGGAGCCCGGCGTGGGATTCTGGCATTGCTTCTTGCTGGTTACGTGCCATTAAGGGAGAGAGGTTGAAGCGAGGAGGGAGAGTCCAGTTATGCTGCAGGGAGGTGTGTGCGTTTAATGTCCTGTTTTTACAGCAATTTAAGGTTTTGAGCCAAGTCGTAAATATTCTAATTTTAGCTGAGATCCTTGCCCCCCATCACCGTGTGTGTCTTGGTCTGGTTCCTGTAGTCCTTTGAGCGACAGCCCAGGGTGGGGGCCGTCCCGCCGCCTCATGTGTGCCTGGTCACCAACAGGACTGAGGCTGCTCGCAGCTGATCCAGGTGCCTGTCAGTGCTAATGGATTCATCACTATTAATAAGTCAGATGGCTGACTTACGAGGCGTTGGCAGGAGCAGTAACGCTAGGAAGCATCACGTGTCCAGGTTGCCTGCAGAAACAGACCTGCCACCAACGCCAGCCAGGGAGCAGCCGGAGCCACTGAGTCACCTCCAGGCTGCACGCAGCCCCTCCCGAGTGGCCCTCTCTGCAGAAGACAGCATGCCGTCTAGATGCCCCCTTGTAGTGAGGACAGTAGTGCAGAGACCCAGTGAGAGGGGGAGACTGCTGCCCACGGGCTCTTACAGAGCCTGCTGGGGGAGGAGGGGACAGCACGGGCGACAGATGCTGAGGGTCTCCGTCAGCGTGGACAGACTCCACACTGGGCCACAGTTCACCTCCAGGCGCTGGTCTGAGCTGCAAGGCTGATTTCTGGTCTATTGGGAGGGACTGAGCAGTGGGAATGGAGTCTCTTTGTTCTGGAGAAGTGTCTGGAGAGCTGGTTCTGTTTCTGTTTGTTTAGTACCTTGCCTGACTTCTTCCAAGGAATACTGTGCAGAGCACTTACCTGATTGTGCAATTGCACAGCCTCTGGTGACCGACCGGGGCATGCCCTGGGCCTGGTCGGCTGGTCCAGGGGACACGTGCTCCCAGCAGAGCGAGGAGGGTAGGGTGGAGACAGCACAGATCACCCCTTCCTGTTACATTAGGGCCATGGAGAAACAGCCCACAGACATGCAATGATCCCACTCCAGCTGCTGCGAAATGAAGGCCTTCCTCTGGAAGGAGGATCCGCCAGCGTTTCAGGTTCATTCTGTTACCTTGCAGGTTAAACTGAAAACTAAGAGAGCAAGAGACGGCTGTGATACCGTCTAAAACCCCTATTTCCTTCGAAGCCGTGTTTCTTAACTTCAGTTGTATTTCAAGTTCAACTGTTTATTTTAGAGTGAAAAAATTCTTATATGTTATATTAAAATAATTTAGGAACAGCTAAATCCTAAAAGGAGGAAGTATTCTGATCATATTCTATCAAAACAAGGATGAGGATGTAAGAGAAAGTTTCCAGGACAAACTCAAGGTCATCAGAAGCAAAAAGACATTTCACCAGTCACAGGGTGGTCTGTTCTAATGATACACAAAGCAAGAGAGAGAGTGTTGATAAGTATTTGAGTAGAGATGTTCTATATACTATCTATCACTCTAAGGTCTTTGGACTCTTTTGATCTTTCTTTTTTTGTTTAATATTTATTTATTCATTTGGCTGCATTGGGTCTTAGTGGTGGCATGTGGGATTTAGTTCCCTGACCAGGGATAGAACCTGGGCCTCCTGCATCAGGAGTGTGATGTCTTAGCCACTGGACCACCAAAGAAATCCCTGAATTTCTTGAATATGTACATTTATGTCTTTCATCAAATTTGGAAACATTTTTGGCAAACATTCTGTGTCATACCCCCCTGTCTTTTCCTTCTAGGCTCTAATTACACTGTGTGTGTGTGCGTGGGTGTGACTTCAGTCACGGCCAACTCTTTGCAACCCCATGAACTGGAGCCCGCCAGGCCCCTCTGTCCATGGGATTTCCCAAGTGAGAATACTGGAGTGGCTTGCCATTCCCTTCTCCAGGGGATCTCGCCAACTCAGGGATTGAACCCAGGTCTCCCGCATTGCAGGCAGACCCCTTACCCTCTGAGCCACCAGGGAAGCCCCCTAATTATGCTAACTGAGTGTACTTCAGTTCCTCTGAGACCTTGCTCACTTTCCCCACCTTTTTGCTCTCTGTCTTCATGTGCACTGATTTCTTTAGGTCAGTGTTTACATTTACTGAACCTTTTGTCATCTCCACTGTCCTGTTATGCTTGCCTACTGTTTTTCCTTTTTGATATTCTATTTTTTAACTCCAGAATGTCTATTTGATTTTTAACAAATGTCTGTTTCTCTAAGGAGCTTTGCTAGTGATTTCCTTTATGTCCTAGAGCAAAACGTAAGAGTTTTTACCTGCTAATTGCAGCAGCCGGGTCGTCCTGGGTCCACCTCCTGTGAAACTCTTGAGTTTCTCCAAATGCCTGATTTTTTTATCCTTTTTTGGGAATCGCGGTTGATTTGCTGCAAAGACTCTGAACTGCAGTGTGTTCCTCTTGAGACTGGTGGGTTTTTACTTGAGCACAGGGTTGGGCTGACTGAAACTCCAGATACAGTCCCCAGAGCACTTCCTTTCCCCAGATTGGGCTCCTCCACACCTCAGCTGCCTTTGGTGTCTCTCTAGTGCCCTCAGGTACTGGTTTTAACAGTTGACAGGAGTTTTTCTTTTCTTTCCTCAGAAGTTTCCTAATGGACTTGATGAGAGCACAGTAATATTCAACGTGAGTAAAGATGCCATTGGCTGTTGGGCTCAAAGAATTCTGGGTAAATGCCATGAAGTGCAAAAGTTAGAAGCACTCAAAGGGCACTTTGGAGGCCTCCACTGACATTTCCTTCCTGTCTGTCGCGCGCGCGGCGGAGCCAGCAGCGGGCGCGGGAGTGAAGGCACTGAGTGCTCCTGTCAAGTGGGACTCAGACGGGGGCGGGGAGGAACGCATGGCCACGGTGTTTGAGGAGGGAAGAAACCTGGGGTTCCCGTCAGGACGTCGCAGGTTGCTACAGGAGTAGATGAAGCGACAGGAACAGGTCTGCCTGCTCTTGAAGGAACCAGAAGTGTGCTTCTCACACACTGTAACCTGGGATCTGAGGGGGGTGTATGCACACACACTGGAAGCTGGGATCTGAGGGGAGTATATACACACAGTGGAAGCTGGGATCTGAGGGGTGTATGTACACACACTGATAGCTGGGACCTGAGGGGGTATGTACACACACAGGAAGCTGGGACCTGAGGGGAGTATGTACACACACTGGAAGCTGGGACCTGAGGGATGTATGCACACACACTGGAAGCTGGGACCTGAGGGGGTATGTACACACACACTGGAAGCTGGGACCTGAGGGGAGTATGTACACACACTGGAAGCTGGGACCTGAGGGATGTATGCACACACACTGGAAGCTGGGACCTGAGGGGGTATGTACACACACTGGAAGCTGGGATCTGAGGGGTGTATGTACACACACTGATAGCTGGGACCTGAGGGGGTATGTACACACACAGGAAGCTGGGACCTGAGGGGAGTATGTACACACAGTGGAAGCTGGGATCTGAGCGGTGTGTGAACACACACTATAAGCTGGGATCTGAGGGGTGTGTATGCACACCCACTGGAAGCTGGGACCTGAGGGGAGTATGTACACACACTGGAAGCTGGGATCTGAGCGGTGTGTGTACACACAGTATAAGCTGGGATCTGAGGGGAGTATGTACACACAGTGGAAGCTGGGATCTGAGGGGTGTATGCACACACACTGGAAGCTGGGACCTGAGGGGTGTATGCACACACACTGGAAGCTGGGACCTGAGGGGAGTATGTACACACACTGGAAGCTGGGACCTGAGGGGAGTATGTACACACACTGGAAGCTGGGATCTGAGGGGTGTATGTACACACACTGGAAGCTGGGATCTGAGGGGTGTCTGTACACACACTGGAACCTGGGATCTGAGGGGAGTATGTACACACACTAGAGGCTGCGATCTGAGGGGTGTGTGTACACACACACTGGAAGCTGGGATCTGAGGGGTGTATGTACACACACACTGGAAGCTGGGATCTGAGGGGTGTATGTACACAGAGTGGAAGCTGGGATCTGAGGGGTGTATGTACACAGAGTGGAAGCTGGGATCTGAGGGGTGTATGCACACACACTGGAAGCTGGGATCTGAGGGGTGTGTGTACACACACACTGGAAGCTGGGATCTGAGGGGTGTATGTACACACAGTGGAAGCTGGGATCTGAGGGGTGTATGTACACACACACTGGAAGCTGGGATCTGAGGGGTGTATGTACACACACACTGGAAGCTGGGATCTGAGGGGTGTATGTACACACACACTGGAAGCTTGGATCTGAGGGGTGTGTATGTACACACACAGGAAGCTGGGATCTGAGGGGAGTATGTACACACACAGGAAGCTGGGATCTGAGGGGAGTATGTACACACACTGGAAGCTGGGACCTGAGGGGAGTATGCACACCCACTGGAAGCTGGGATCTGAGGGGTGTGTATGTACACACACTGGAAGCTGGGACCTGAGGGGGGTGTATGTACACACACTGGAAGCTGGGATCTGAGGGGTGTGTATGTACACACACTGGAAGCTGGGATCTGAGGGGAGTATGTACACACACTGGAAGCTGGGATCTGAGGGGAGTATGTACACACACTGGAAGCTGGGATCTGAGGGGAGTATGTACACACACTGGAAGCTGGGATCTGAGGGGTGTATGTACACACCCACTGGAAGCTGGGATATGAGGGGTGTATGTACACACAGTGGAAGCTGGGATCTGAGGGGTGTATGTACACACACACTGGATGCTATGATCTGAGGGGGGTATGCACACACATTGGAAGCTGGGATCTGAGGGGAGTATGTACACACACTGGAAGCTGGGATCTGAGGGGTGTATGTACACACACACTGGAAGCTGGGATCTGAGGGGTGTATGTACACACAGTGGAAGCTGGGATCTGAGGGGTGTATGTACACAGAGTGGAAGCTGGGATCTGAGGGGTGTATGTACACACACTGGAAGCTGGGATCTGAGGGGAGTATGTACACACACTGGAAGCTGGGACCTGAGGGGTGTGTGTACACACACTGGAAGCTGGGACCTGAGGGGAGTATGTACACAGAGTGGAAGCTGGGATCTGAGGGGTGTATGTACACAGAGTGGAAGCTGGGATCTGAGGGGTGTATGTACACACACACTGGAAGCTGGGATCTGAGGGGTGTATGTACACACAGTGGAAGCTGGGATCTGAGGGGTGTATGTACACAGAGTGGAAGCTGGGATCTGAGGGGTGTATGTACACACACTGGAAGCTGGGATCTGAGGGGAGTATGTACACACACTGGAAGCTGGGACCTGAGGGGTGTGTGTACACACACTGGAAGCTGGGACCTGAGGGGAGTATGTACACAGAGTGGAAGCTGGGATCTGAGGGGTGTATGTACACACACACTGGAAGCTGGGATCTGAGGGGTGTATGTAGACACAGTGGAAGCTGGGATCTGAGGGGTTATGTACACACACTGGAAGCTGGGATCTGAGGGGTGTATGCACACACACTGGAAGCTGGGATCTGACAGGTGTATATACACACACACTGGAAGCTGGGATCTGAGGGTATATGTAAACATATACTCTGCTGCATAGCAGAGACCAACACAACAGTGCAAAGCAACTACACTCCAATAAATGTGTCCTAACGAGCAGATGCCCAGGTTAGATGGCAAACACCCGCCTGGTGCCAGGGAGCTGCTTCCCTCCAAACGTGCCGACCGGAGACACTCACACCCTTCAGGGATCAGCTTCCTCACTCACAGATATGGCTGGACCATCTGAATTTCTCCGTGGAATATCAACGGGCCACTTGTATCCTGAAAAAGAAACTGATTAAACAGACAAGGATATTCACATTTAATAGAAGTCAGCTCCCCTCACACTACTCACCTTCAGTTCAGTTCAGTTGCTCAGTTGTGTCCGACTCTTTGTGACCCCATAGACTGCAGCCTGCCAAGCCTCCCTGTCCATCACCAACTCCCAGAGTTTATCCAAACTCATATCCACTGAGTCAGCGATGCCATCCCACCATCTCATCCTCTGTCACCCCCTTCTCCTCCCTCCTTCAATCTTTCCCAGCATCAGGGTCTTTTCCAATGAGCCAGTTCTTCAAATCAGGTGCCCAAAGTACTGGAGTTTCAGCTTCAGCATCAGTCCTTCCAGTGAACACGCAGAACTGATTTCCTTTAGGATGGACTGGTTGGATCTCCTTGCAGTCCTAGGGACTCTCAAGAGTCTTCTCCAACACCGCAGTTCAAAAGCCTCAATTCTTTGGTGCTCAGCTTTTTTTATAGTCCAACTCTCACATCCATACATGACTACTGGAAAAACGATAGCTTTGACTAGATGGAACTTTGTTGGCAAAATAATGCCTCTGCTTTTTAATAAGCTGTCTAGGTTTGTCATGACTTTTCTTCCAAGGAGCAAGCGTGTTTTAATTTCATGGCTGCAGTCACCATCTGCAGTGATTTTGGAGCCGCCAAAAATAAAGTCTCTCACTGTTTCCCCATCTATGTGCCATGATGTGATGGGACTAGTTAATCCCCAGCTTTAATGTTTAAACCTGAGGGGTGAATGTCTAACTGCCAAAGCAGGTGTATATTTGGGGTTCAGGGTGGTTTCCTTGGTGGGTAGAGTGTCATGCAGATAGAGACACACATCCACATATACACCCCTGAGTCCAAGCCCAAGGTCTACACTGAGCACCGACAGCCTTAGGAGGAGAGTTAAGTCCCCTGTAAAACTTAAATTTGAACTGCACTAAAATTTTGGCTTGTTACCATCCTGGCCCAAGGGCTGCAGCGTCCTGCACATATAACTGTTCCATGAGTACCCCCAGGTTTCCGGGGTGCTGGGCCCTGCTGGTCAGAGCTGGGAATGCCCCATCCTGGTTTGCATTCCTCCAGGGCATCCCTGGTGACAGGACCTGTCCCATGAGCCAGGGAGCAGTTGGTTGTTGAAACCTGTCATCCTGAGACCAGATGACCTGGGGGTCAGGGGAGTGGCCAGGATGGGGAGGGAGCTGATGGGGCTGCAGGGAGGCAGGTGGGGTCCAGTGGAGCGGGTACAGGAGGCCCTTTGGAGATGCCACTCGAGGGGGTCCGCAGTCCCAATCCTCCTTCTGGGAACAGACCTGCCTGGGGAAGGTCCCACCTAGACCTAGAGGCACCAGTCTGCCCCCAGCATCAACAGGGAAGCCCTTCAGAGTCTCTGCTGCTCCACGAAGGCTGCTCCGAGGACGCCGGCCGGGCAGCCACCCGCCTCCAGCAGCTGCAGAGCCTCTTGGGCAGGCTACTGTCCGGCCCCAGCGAGCCCACCTCGGGGCCCCGTGGGGCAGAGGTCGTGTGCCTTTGTCGCCCGCCATCAGCACGCTGCTCAGAATCTCTGAGGAGAATCGGCTTCCTTCCAAGTCTGACCTCTGCTCGGCTGTATTAACAACGACTGCCTGGCGTTTCTCTATCCACATGGCTAAGCCTGAGCCCCAGGAGATGGAGCATGCAGCCGTGGTGATGGCAGCCGCGCCCAGGGGCTCCTGGGGGCGGCCCGTGTCAGACACTCGAGCAGAGGGTCCGCGCATCAGCAGGCCTTCCTGGTCTCCTGGGACCCCTAACCTGCTGGGAGCCGAAGTTCCCAACAAGACCTCCACGACTGCGGGGAATCCTTCCGGACGTGGGCCTGTAGGCTCTGAGGAGGCGGTCAGGTTGGTTAGGGGCTGGAGGAGCCGGAGCCCAGCCTTGCTGCAGAGATCTGTCTCCCAGTCCAGCCACGACTCTCCAGGTTCATGGTACAGGCTTCAGATATTTTGTACAGAAGGATTTAAAAGGGTTATAAAGGGATCAGAAGCCTTTCACACTCTTAGAAAGCAAAAGTTCTGGGGCGAGAGGGTGTTGACACCAGGCTTTCCTTGTGGTGTCCCATGCCCGACACGCTTAACACATGGAGCCTCCGCCGTGGACACAGGGAGCCAGGTTTCAAAGCCGCATGTACCTTGCTCTGAGGGGCCACTCTGAGTTGACCTTGGGAAGAGACCCCCAGGGACCGAGGGGGTTGCTCTCTGCCCCCTGCCCCGCCTGTGCTGTGCCCTGGGAGAGAGCGCTGTCCCCCGCACGGGCCGGAGGCTCCAGCGGGCAGCCGCAGGGGCGAGCCCAGCTGCAGCTGGGCGGGATGGCTGAGTTGATGTCCGCTTTCGACCAGAATCCAAAGAAAAGACAACACCTGCGCCTCTCCCAGGTAACCTTCATACTGAGCAGGTACCCAGGTTTCTTCTGTCTGACAGCCGGCACCCCAGGGCCTGCGGGACCCATCCTGGGCTGTCCCCTCAGCCCCTGGAGGCCTTGCAGTCCTGTGGGTGGTGATCCGGGCTGACCAGGGTGTGTTGCATCTTCTCTGCGTGTAGGTGTCTGTGTGTGCGTGTGTGTGTGTGTGTGAGGATTTCAGGAGGCGGGAATGTGCCTTCCTCTCCTTGGGCTCCTCCTTAGAGATTCCGTGTCTTTCTCAGTCAAAGGGAGCCTTTGGCAGAGACTCTGACTTACATCCAGGTAATTTCCTTGACCGTTTCAACGTTCTGATTCTGGTTCTAAAGTAATAACTGAAATTTTAACACTCTTGTTTTCCATTAAAATCTCTGTAAAGATTGGACTCTGTGATTGTTACTGACGAGAAACCATGAATTAAATCAAAATCATGCCTTATTAACATCTGGCATTTTTCTGTGTAGGGCTGGTTCTCTCAGATCTGGCTTCCTAGCTATTTAGTGTTAGGATGTGAAACTAGTAATTACGACTTTGAGGAAAGGAAGAACTAAACCCACAGAAGAATGAGAAAAATTTGTCACGTGGCAAAATTCGATTACAAAAAGCAGCTTCATTTTTAGCCCGAGAGCCGGGCTCCTTGCGTTCCCCGGTCCCGCTCGGCCCCTGCGGCTGGGACGCTCGATCCTTCCTCCTTCGGCTCCAGGCCGGGCTTGGCGGGCAGTGTTCACGTCCAGAGCAGTCTCGGCTGCCTCTCAGACTTGCAGCGACAGATTCCTGTTTCTGCCGGCAGACTGCCGGCTCATGCACGGGGCCATATTTTCCTGGACATCGTCACCCCCATCAGCATCCAGGCGATGTGTCAGAGCACCGGCCGACCATCTTTTCCCAGCGAGGACTGTGAGATCCCGGCGGGCCCGCGGTTCTCACATGTGAGGATGCGGCCTGATCCCTCATCTGTTTCTGATTCTCTGGGGTCTTAGGAGGCCAGGCGGGCCGACTGTAAAAGTGCCTGGGGCTCCCTTTTAAGGCGTCTCGGCCCCGGATGATCCAACCAAGTCACGCGGCCCACTGGGCATCTGATAGTCCTCAGAGGGGCTTGGCTGAGCCTCCCAGGGTCAGTGGCCGGAGACCAGCGACTCTGGGAGAGGAGGGGCTCTAAACCGAGGGGAGGACGTTTGTCTGGGGGAGTGTTCACTCCACCCTCCCTCCCGGACCACTGTGCTCCTCCTCGTCTGTCACAGGGGCCCAGCTCACAGACTCATCGAATGGATGCTGCATAAGAGGCTTGAAAACAAACTCAGAGTTTAAAAGCAATGCACACTCACTACTGCAAAATTCAAAACTGCATCAAGAAGAAAAATAGTAAAAAATATAAAGTTATTAATCTCACTACCTAGAGGTAATCAACCATATGATTTTTGTGTATTTCTATTCAATTTTTCATGTATGTATTTTTTATAGAATTTAGGGTATGCTGTATCTGGAACCCCACTTGACATCGTAAGAAACATTTTCACATACTAAAAATCAAAAAAAAAACCTAGATTTTAATGGCTGAATCATATTCTTTTCTGTGAATTTCCTCATCGGACCTGGAGGACAAGTATCACCAATGGTATATAAGGTTATTTTAGGCAGCATACAGATGCACATTTTTATCCATAAAGCGATGTTACTATTCTCTTCATTCGTGAGTTTTTTATATTTAAAAAAGGTTTACCTTTAGTGATCATAGGCATTAGAGTGTAGTGGATTTTATAGCTGGCAGTATTCTTTATGTCTTTCACCTCTCATCAGTGGATCATCATAGGAGGAAATAGAATGTCAGTGTCACTTGGCCTTGGAGCGAGGTGCAGAAATTCCTGACTCATACTTGATCGTTAATCCCATACTTTTGATGAAAATATGCTAATTCAAAATAAGACAGCTTGATTTTGAAGTTTACTTCTTATAAAGGTTATTTAGCTGAGAAAACTCTTAAGAGTCCCTTGGACTGAAAGGAGATCAAACCAGTCAATCCTAAAGGAAATCAACCCTGAATATTTATTGAAAGGACTGATGCTGAAGCTGAAGCTCCATTAATTTGGCTACCTGATATGAAGAGCTGACTCACTGGAAAAGACCCTGATGCTGGGAAAGATTGAAGGCAAGAGGAGAAGAGGATGACAGAGGATGAGTTTGTTAGACAGCATCACCAACTCAATGGCATGAGTTTGAGTAAACTCCGGGAGATAATGGAGGGCAGAGGAACCCAGGGTGCTGCAGTCTATGGGGTCGCAAAGAGTCGGATACAACTTAGCGAATGAACAATGAAAGCTTCTAATTAGCCCAGAACTAGGAATGGCAACCCACTCCAGTATTCTTGCCTGGAAAACCCCATGGACGGAGGAACCTGGTAGGCTACAGTTCATGGGGCCGCAAAGAGTCGGACAAAACTGAGCAGCTTCACTTCACTTCATATTGAACTCTGAAGATTTTCCAGATTAATGAGACCCCTTTTCCAAAGTAATCTCATCTAGGTCCAAAAGATAGTCTCTGTCCAGAAAAATCTGTTAATTTTCCAATATTTCCCCAAATACCGGAACCTTCACTAGGTTAATGACTGATCACCCATGATCCACACATTCTGTGACGGCAGCAGCCTTATTTATCTTCAGTGTGGTAGTAGGTACATAGTTTCCAAACAGATGCTTCTTGATTGATTCAACTTCAAAGTAGATTTAGAATTGTCTGTGTGATGGGTATCATCTATTGTGATTCAAATTAATAAATGACTTTGACACATTAAGAATGACCTGCTTTTGCTCTTATAACATGGGAACTATGATACATTCTATAAGAAATTTTAAAAAATGTTAATGTAAATCAGAGAAAAATATGTAAGAATACTATATATCCTCATTATGTCTTAGATATTATTACCTAGAATGAGACTAGGTAAAAAGAAGGGTGGTTAGTTTAAAGTTGTTTTTCAGTTGCTCAGTCATGTCTGACTTTGCGACCCCACGGACTGCAGCATGCCAGGCCTCCCTGGTTTAAAGTAGATATAAAGTGTTAAGCCGAAGAATTGATGCTTTTGAACTGTGGTGTTGGAGGAGACCCTTGAGAGTCCCGTGGACTGCAAGGAGATTCAACCAGTCCATCCTAAAGGAGATCAGTCCTGGGTGTTCACTGGAAGGACTGATGCTGAAGCTGAAACTCCAGTACTTTGGGCACCGGACTTGAAGAACTAACTCACTGGAAAAGACCCTGATGCTGGGAGGGATTGGGGGCAGGAGGAGAAGGGGATGACAGGGGATGAGATGGCTGGATGGCATCACTGACTCAATGGACATGGGTTTGAGTGGACTCTGGGAGTTGGTGATGGACAGAGAGGCCTAGTGTGCTGCGATTCATGGGGTCACAAAGAGTCGGACACAGCTGAGCAACTGAACTGAACTGAAAGTGTTAAGTGAGTGAAAGTATAACTGCTGATGGTCCAGAAAAGTCAGTGTCTGAAGTTGTGTTTCCTGATGGACCGTCAGCAGTTTCCAATGCTTTGCTGCATGAACAGCCCCGACACGGCTCTTTGTGTGGGGGGATGGCTGTTTCTCTAGAAGGGGTTCCTGGGAGTAGGATTCTGAGGTTAAAAGTCAATGTTATGAATAGCAATCCTGGTGCAGGCTTCACAGCAGCGAAATCCCAGAGAAATAATTTTGCCCTTTGATTTCCCAGTGCTTTTATCCGTGGGAAATAGAAAAATTAAATTCTTAATTCATACGACTGATAAAGTAATGCGGGTCCGTTGAACATAAACCCAAAGATATTGGCTCTCTGAGTCCCTCATCAGCTGTGTGTGTGTCGGCAGTTCTGGCAGGTGCAGCTGAGCGCGCCTCCCGGGCTCCCCTCCTACCCGCTCGCCTCCCCCCAGGCGCGGGCTCCTCCTCCTGCTCTGCCTGCGCTGAGGGCACCCTTCCCGCATGGACGCCCCCGCTCACGGCGGGAGAGGACGGTGCTCACGGCGGAAAGGACGGTGCTCATGGTGGGAAAGGACAGTGCTGTCCTTCCTAGTCACAGTGCTAGTAACTCACGATTATCTAGTCATTGTTAACCGCAGTCACTGAACGAACTCTACAATTCTCTGCAATCAGTGCTTCTTAGGAAAGGGAAAGGTTTAGTTTGTAGTAAATGGTAAAGTTACTTAAAACGCTCCTTTGGAAAAAGCTTTTTTGACAGTTGGCCACTTTGTCTTCCTGGCCCATCGCTTTGCAGAGATGGAGAGAACCACCAGCTGCATGTGAATTCTTTACTTCGTGAGTATCACAGACTCTAAACTGTGGCAAGGTCGAGAGGCCTGGGTGGTGAAAGAGTGGTCAGGAGACAGTATGACCACGGCAAGTTCAAATACAAAATGCACGTGTGCAAGTCCGTCCTTACAGGCAGTCAGAGGCCAGCCCTGGTCACTCAATAGGGAGAACAAAACCCCGTTGTCTGCGACCCGAGTCCTCCTGCTGGCGTGGCCTCTGCCCCACCTCGGGCCCCTGCGGACGGGAGAGTGGGTGTGGGCGCTCTAACCAGGGATGGCTCCCTCACTGCTCTGCTCTTTTTGTTTTTACTGCACTATTTGGACTGTTCTGCAATTGACATTAAAATGAGGGTATGAGATTCTCCATTTCCCCAAGTGGACTGCTCTTTAAGAGTGTGAAACCCGACTCTGAGGCAGAGCTCTGACTTGGGGTCCGTGAAGCCCCCAGAACTGTGTGAGGCTGTGGCAGAGCTGGCGCAGGCATCTCTGGAGACAGCCTCCGCAGCCTGGGGGTCTCAGAGGACCCCAACCTTCAGAAGGCCCCCCTAACCGATTCGTGCTCCAGCGGAGCCAGCCAGCAGGGACCCGGGTCCGCAGCTGCTGCGGACACTCGGCCGCTTCCTCATCCGGGACCAGAACCCGCGCGGGAGGCCATGGCGGGCGTGGGTGGGGAGCCGTGTCATCTAGCCTACACTACCAAGGGTGACGAGGCTGTGACCCCGACTTCCCCGCTAACGTGGACGCCCCTCCCCCCGTGCTGCCGTGTCTGGGGCTGCCCTCGCTTCTGTTCCCTCCTGCTGTTGCTGCAGACCCCGCCCAGCAGCTTGGTGCCCCAACCCGCAGGTTGAGGGGTCCCCGTGAGGGGTGCAGATGGCAGTGGATGGCCTGGGATTCTGAGCCATCTCGGGGACCCCGAGCTCCCCACCCCCACTTGGGCAGGGCTGCCTCCACCCTGACGGATTCTTTCTTTCTCATGGGTTTGAACCCCAGTGACCCCAAAACATTATGTTTGGACTTGAAAGACAGGCTTATTTTTAAAGTTGAACTTCCTACACGGCTGCACACATAGCGTCTTTTAATGTTGGTCTCTCAGTGTTAACTCAGTCGAGTCTCAGTAGAGCCAAAACACACAGTCAAGCTGTGGGAAAGAGCCTTGATCCGAAGCCCCCCACCCCACCCCCGCTGTGCGAGGGACTCAGCACAGACCCCGCTTCCTGCTTGGCCGAAGCTGGGGGGCCCTGCACGCCTCAGCCGAAGCTTGCAGGGGGTCTGGGGATCGGAGCCATCTGTGTCCCAGAGAGGGGGTGATGCTTCAGGGGTGTCCTGGGGAGACGGGCATACGGGCGGGTCGGAACCCTGAGCCAGGGGCCCAGGGACACCCAGAGGGGCTCTTCACTGGTACGTCCAGGCTCACCACAAACAGAGACAGTCCCACCTACAGATTCTCTTGAAATTGTCTGACTCCAAGAGTAGCCAGCTGCTGGGAAGAGCTCTGTTTTCCCCACGTAAGCTAGACTGACTTACCTGAGCTGGTTCAGTGGCACTCCTGACCTCCAGGATGGAGTGTGGGGAGCAGACAGACCACCTCTCAGGGGCCTTTCTGGCCTGAGGATCCTCCCATACACTTGGGATTAAAAGGATTCCCCCCATATACTTGGGATTAAAAGCAGGCAGCGCTCAATCTGATCACTGGATGGTGCCCCTTCCCAAGTGGCTCCCGAGACCCGCTTATCACTGCTGCTTTCTTATCATAGAGACACATCTCTTAATGGGCTGTGATGTTAAGTCCTCCTAGAAATAGCAAGATCACAGGGCATGACGTGAGTGATATACAGAAATATGCTTGCTCATTGCTGCTGGGCATGACTGACTCCTGCAGGAGCCCTTGTCGCCGTGGATAACGTGTCTGACCACGGATCAGAAGATTCCAGGCTTGACTCCTGGCTGGCTGAGAGCGTGCTTTGTCATTGGGCTTCCCTGTGGTCCAGAGCGTGAAGAATCTGCCTGTAATGAGAAAAACCTGGGTTTGATCCCTGGGTGGGGAAGATCCCCAGGAGAAAGAAACGGCTATCCACTCCAGTATTCTTGCCTGGAGAAACCCATGGACAGAGGTGGGCTACAGTCCACAGGGTCACAAAGAGTTGGACACACCACCGAGAGACTAATACACACACACACAACTGACTTAGGAGAAGATGCTTCAACCATGAAAGATTACAGGCATTTTCAGACAATTACAGCACTTATTTACGTAGTAAACTTGCATCTGGATTTCTTTGTCTCTGCCTTGACCCTTGTCTCTCACACACAGAGACATTAGTCAGAAATGTTAACTTCCAGGCACAACGGATTTGATAGAAATGGTCAGAACAGGGCAAAGTCTCCTGATCTGATTATTGTTTTGACTTGGAGGTGGGTGGATACCCCAGACATTACTGAAAGTGAAAGTGAAGGCGTGTCCGACTCTTTGCGAACCCATGGACTGTAGCCCACCAGGATCCTCTGTCCATGGGATTCTCCTGGCAAGAACACCGGAGCAGGTTGCCACTTCCTTCTCCAGGGGATCTTCCGAACCCAGGGATCAAACCCAGGTCTCCCGCGTTGTAGGCAGACGCTTTACCATCTGAACCACCAGGGAAGTCCACCCCAGACATTATATCAGTACGAATCATTGAGATGAAATTGGTTCTGTACAAAACTATTGAAAGAAAATACCTTTTCCCCAGAATGGCCAATAAGTTGCAATGGTTAATCTTGATTTGCCATGACATTAGCTAAAAAAGAACCCAAAGTATTTTTAAAAGCAAATAGCAAAGATATAGCTTTATACTTGGTACAGTCAATTTGGATAGCAGATTGGCACTTTTCTAAAATGTTAAAAAGAGATTTACTATACAACCCAGCAATTGCACTCTTGGGTGTCTACTCAAGATAAGTGAAAACCTCCCAAAACACACACCGACACAAAGACTTGCATGCAGATGTTGCAGCATCCTTATATTTGATGGCCAGAGAAGTGGAGCTGATCCAAATGGCTGTCACATAAACCAATGAACGCACAGCTCCATTCCACTTGGGGGAGGGTGACGGGCCCTGCAAACGACACACGTGGATCCTTATGCACGGACCTGGCAGAGGACCTCATGAAGGCGTGAGAGCCAAGAATGAAAAAATGGACAAAATACATAAAAAAACAGCATACACACAGACCCAATGTATGAACATAGTCCCTGGATTACGCAGGATGCCGCTCACACTAGAGGTGAGATGTTAGCCAGGAGGGGAATTGCTGAGAAAGGGGTAAGGCTGGCCTTCTCTTCTCCGAACTCAGAATTGGCTGGATTTGTTTTTAGAATTGACATGTATTAGTTTGGTGAATTAACGAACAAAGATGAGGAAGGCGGAAGGCATGGCTGAGTCCTGCACACCTGCGTGGGGGAAGGTCCAGCTGTGTCCCGGGCAGGGCAGGCGGTGCTGGACTTTTGGAGGCTCAGGGCCCAGCCTGGGCACTGACCGCATGGCAGTGCAGCTCATAACGCCCTGGCTCATGGACCCCCATGGCCCACCCCACCTACCTGCCCCGAGCATTCCAGCCTGCTGAAGACGGGATGAGCACCATGACCCAGGTGGCAGTTTATCCCGGGGAGCTGGCTCTAGAGAACCACGTGGTGGACCGCTCCTGATCGTGCTCAAAGGTGGATCCAGGGCTTTCACCCTAAAGGGAGCTGTACCCTCAGCCCCAGTTGGGGACATTCCTGCCAGCCCTTCCGCTTGTAAACTCTCCCTCTTTTCTGAAAAGCTATAGTCAGGTTAAGCTTCTTGCCGCAGGCAACCACCTCTTTATAAACAATCCTTTATTCTCCCACATGACCATCCTCAGCACATCCATCAAAATTGCCCAGGTGCTTCTGGTCCAGGTCTCCAGGGCCTAACGTGTAGAGTCTCATGGAGGAGATGGAATACTTGCCATCCTCAGAGGCGGGGAACCACAGCCAGCTCCCAGCCTGTCAAGTCTACCCACGAGCTCAGGATGTTTTCCACACCTTCAAGTGCTTAAGGAAAGTCAGGGGATTTCATGACATGAAAATGGTACAAAATTCCAGCTTTGGTGACTGTATACACTGCTTCACGGGAACTAAACAGCCCTCTCGGGGTATTGAGGCTATGGGAGCAGAGCCCAGTTGTCATGATGGAGGTGGGGGACTCTCAACACCTACGGGTTCACTCTCTGGCCTTTTCCTGAAAAGGCTTGGTGGATGATTTGATTCTGGCTCCAGTCTTTGCAGTAACAGTTTTGGGGGCTTGGGGTTCAAGGTGTCCTTTAAGAGCCCAGCAGAGGGACCACTGGGGCAGGAGTGGCCGGGGCCGCCAGGGAGCAAACCAAGCGGTTTCTGCAGTCAGTGAGGAGACACGTGGGGAATTCAGAGTTACAGGCACCCTGCACGTGGTTTCGGGGCGGGCAACACCCCCAAAGCAAGGCCTCCTGAATGGACGGGGCCGGGGGCCTAGACTCACCGCCCCAGAAGTGTCGCCCTCTCAGGCCGGGGGCTCCCTGTCGGGTCAGCACAATCTCCTTTGCACTTCTGGGAGGATCCTAACGTTGTGTACTCTGGACAGACTGTAGTTTGTCTCACGTTGCTCCTACTGATGGAGAGGATCACTCCTAATTGTCCAGTGTTACAACCCCGAATACCTGTGGGCACAGAACTGCTGCCCCGGGTAGAGATGGATCCCTAGGCTCTACGTAAGTTCCCAGACTCTCAAGCTACAAATTTCTCTTTGCTGGAGTCAGAGGTCCGTAGCTCCTAAACACTGGTGGATGTTCCTCATTGTCCTCATGACCGCGGGGCTGCTGGCATCCCTGCCAAGGAGGATGTGAGGGGTGTCCCACCCTCCTGCAGCTTGGGTATTTAGCAACCTTTGCTTCCAAGCACCTGCTTTCTCCAGAATTGTCAGATGCCAGTGGATGGGACCTGAGAGGAAGGAAGAAATACCCACCTCTCCCTTCCTCCTGCCTCCAGCCCCACCAAGGCCTCCCATTGGCCAAACCTGCTGGGGGGCCTGTGGCAAAGAGCTGGGTGAGATACGCCCCCCAGGGCAGATGGCAGGGCACCCCGGTGCTCCTCCACAGGTGCTGAAACCCTTGGCTTCTCTGCAGCCTGGAGCTGAGCACCCAGATCTCCCTTCAAACAGCCAGTCTTCTGTGCAACCAGTCCTCAGTGACCCGTTCTGTGCCTCGGTCAATCGTGCAGGGGCCGGTGAGGAGGGCCGCGTCCCCCACGCCCCTCCCTCGTGGGGTCCACAGCTCTCCTGCCATGATCCCGGGGTAAGCCCGCCCCTCAGGGCCCCGAGGACAGGCTCCCAAGGCTGTGGGCTCACGCCTGGCCTTCGTCCTCGTCTCCAGGCCCAGGTCTCAGGTGTCAGTGTAGCTGCTGAGCCCCCAGATAATACCCGAGGCCTGGGGGCTCAGCTCTCCCAACTTCAGCCCCGGGCTGGTGCCACCCACCCCTCACGGGAGGAGAATACAGACCTCCCCTCACGGGAGGAGAACGCAGACCGCCTCCACCTGGGGACACACCCTCTGTTGCCCACCCTTGAGCTCTTGGGGATGACCGGTCCGAAGGCTAGGACCCAGTCCCCAACTCCAGGATTCCTAAAACACTTTCCGTAACTCACCCCCCTGCTTAAAACCAAAGACATTTTTTGACTCATCTGGTCTCAGACGTGAGGCTCGCGCGTCTGCTTCGCAGGCTGTGGCCGTGTCGGCATCTGAAGCGTCCTGTCGCCGCCGCCGCAGGGCTGTGCCTCTGCTAGCTGAGCATCTATGTGGGGGCCACAGACCCCGCTCCGTGTGGAGGCCGTTGGCCCCAAATACAGGCGGTTCCCCTCTACCCCTGCCCAAGGTGCACAGCTTGCCGCTGTCCTGCCCCAGGAGCAGCAACTCAGCTCTAAATCGCTCTAAAACTCCCTGCCCACACCTCCGGTTGCCGGCCTGTACTGTCTCCAAGCTGTGTCAGCACTCCATGATTCTGGCGGCAAGTGAACACCGAAGGGACTGTATGGGGTTAAAAGCAATTAACACCCTTCCCTGTGTCCCCAGAAATTTCTGCCAGGGGAGTGAAGTTGTTCTATATATTGGAGCTCATCTCAGATACTCGGGGCTGATCTTCCTTAGTTCTGTTTCTCTCTTTGAATTTCACCCGCTTGCTGTTCCTGGGGAAACAGAAATTCCATTTATAACAGCTACATTCTAAGATGTTACCTCATAAAATTCCCCTGGGCCTGTCCTTTTAAAATTAATGCTACCAAGTGAGCAAACCTCAAAGGGATGTGTGCATGTGTGCACACACACACACTCGGGGACACACATGCACACGTGTGTGCCAAGAGCCTATTGAAATAGATTAACCCCCAAATTAGAGAGTTTCAGGGCTCTGTGTTCTGTCCTAGTTTTGTCTCTGCTCTCTGGAGCAGTTACAAACAAGTTACTGGCGCTTATGTGGATCAGACCTCGGCCTCGCTGCTCCAAGGGGCCAGGCTGCCCCCTCAGGCTGGGGGTGTTTCCCACGGTCCCAGAACAGCGGCTCTGGCCCGAGGGGGACTGTGCGTGTCCTCTTGCAGAAGAACGAACTGTTTACGTGACCCGGCCCATTGTGAGATCAGTCGGCCCCGCTGGTGGATTTATAAACACTGCCTGCTGGTGGTCCTCTGTGCCTGTGCAGGAAACAGGCCTCACCAAGCCCCACGCGGCACCGAACACCAGGCTGGGCCTGGGAGCTAACGGCCTTGGCACGCATCTTGGTCTTGAAACAGCTGGGCTTAAATTCCTGTTTGTCTCGGGCCTGCCGGGGTCAAGCCCTCTCCCGTCCCGCGCAGGCGTCCAAGGGTGGTGAGCAGGGTGGTGACCAGTCGGGGCGGCCCCCGGGAAGAGGCCCCATCGCGGTCGCCTTCCCTTGGCTCCACCCCCAGCACGCCGCTGCCCCGGCCCAGCCCTCCGGCTCAGCAGCCGCTCCCTGAAGGTGAGCTGGGCCATGCCCTTGTCACCCAACTGGCCGCTTCTCAGTGACTGAGGCTTATGAAGCAGAAGAGACACATAATCCAGGGTGGTTCTACGGTTTCGGGTCATACCTGTGTTTACCAAGAATGATCCTAAGATGTTCCTTCTTGCTTATAGCATGCTCCTGTAACCAACAGGTCCCTGAATTCCTTGGAAGAACCACCGAGCTGTATTTGAATTTTATTTCTGGGTATATACTTAAGGGTAAGTGTAAAGAAGACTGGCCCGAAGAAAATGTGTTTGGTTGCCAGAGGGCAGAGTTGTGCTTTCCCCTGCCTTCAGGTCCATTCATCCTCCCGGCCGCCTGGCATCCTGGCCACAGCCTGGACGGTGGGCTCAGAGGACGCAGCTTCAAAGGCTTCTCCCACCTCCGTCCAGCAGATGTGTCTCACGTGACCCCCAACATCTCTGGGCTCGGGGCCTCCTTTGTCACTGAGCCAGGACTCCTTATCCACAGTCCGTGGTCCTGAGCATCTCACCGTTGCAGCCCCTGTGACATGAGCTCAGAGTTGCATAAACCCAAGTGCCTGCTGTTGGCGACAAGAAAATAAACTTTCTGGGCCTTGACACTGTGGGCTTTGCTTCTGAGGGTGCAGGGTGGGAGGGCAGGAGGGTCCCCGGGCAGAAAGTTGTGTCCTAAGAGGAGGGTTGAAGAGATGGGGCCCACCAGCAAAGAACCATCACTGAGGGCAAGGTCTTGCTTTTATTGCCTGTAATTTGTCTTTCAGCAGGTTGACCGGGGAAGAAGTGATGGAGAGGGTAGCCATTTCCTTCTCCGGGGGATCATCACCACCCAGGGATTGAACTCGGGTCTCCAGCATTGCAGGCAGATTCTTTACTTTCTGAGACACCAGGAAAGCCTCTGATCAGCCAGGGCCTTTGATTCCAGGCCAGGCCCTCTGTTAGTCGGGAGTGTCATCAAACAAGAATACCCGCCATCTCTGCTGTCTGTTGACCCCACAATAGCGCTCGTGCTCCATCTACGAGCGGCTGGAAGAGCTCCAGCCCCGGGGAGCACCCATCTTTGGGTCCCTGGAACCAGAAGTAGAGAGCAGACCTACTGGAGTTGCACAGAAGGAGCAGGCTGTCTGGACCGGCCAGGGCCCAAAGTGCTGGCTCTGCAGGGGCACGCCTACGGTGCCTTCCTGGGGGCCCCTCTCAGCCAGGTCCTCATGTGGTCCTGGAACGAGAACCACTGTTTGAACTCCCTGCGCTGGGAGCAGAGACCCGGGTCACTTGGCCGTGCCTGGCAGTGACTCCGGCGTCTGAGCAATTCTGCAGAATGTCTGAGACTCAGACTCGCTTCTGCCCGCTGACCACCTGTGTGCAGCCTCTCAAGACCTCTGTGCACTTCCAGAACAGGTGGAGGGCGGAGGGGTCTTCGCCACGCTGGCTGTTTGGGGCTTCTATGCGTACACCTTCCATGTTTGTCCGACAGGTGAGCAGAGAGGACCGTCCGATCCTGACAGGGCCTTCCCCTCTGCAGCGTGTCCCCCCCCAACTCACACAGGACCCCCCGCCCCGCTCCTCCTCCCGGTTCCCAGGCAGCAGAAAGCTGGGAAAGCACCATCCATCCCAGTTGCCTCTCTGTCTCTGAAAGGCAGGGGCCCTGCTCTGTCCAGGGAGCTCAGATGCTGCACCAGGGATCCAGCCTCCAGCCATGACTTTTCCAGGACTTGGGAGGGTCAGAGAGCAGAGCCCCTGACCCAGAGGCTGCAGCAGAAGAGGTCTGCTCAGGCCCAGCACAAATTGTTGTTGTTCAGTTGCTTGGTCGTGTCTGACTCTTTGCAACCCCATACACTGCAGCACGCCAGGCTTCCCTGTCTTTCACCATCTCCTGGAGTTTGCTCAAACTCTTGTCCATGGAGTTGGTGATGCCATCCAACCATCTCATCCTCTGTCGTCCCCTTATCCTGCCCTCAATCTTTCCCAGCATCAGGGTCTTTTCCCAGCATCAGCAGACCTGAGGACCGGTCTAATTCTGCAGCAACTGTGTGACTTTGGACCGACGAGTCCACCTCTCTGGGTCTCAGCGGCCCCACCTATGAAGGGAACAGCACTCACAGAATGATGTCTCAACTTGCTCCCAGCACAGACATGCTATGATTCTCTAGCCCTCAGTGACAAGGAATTTGTGGTGTGGAAGGTGAACTTGAAGCTGGCATTTGGAACTCCAATCTTGAGGAGTCATGTTTGGATCTGGTAAACTGGGCCTCCCCCTCTCCTGTTATTTCTCCGCGCTTGGCTCGCGTCCACCACTCCTATGACCTGGCCCATCCAGGGGCCCATGTCACTGCTCACGGGCCCGCGGCCACTGAGGCACCTCACAGACCCAGAGGGGGCAGCCTTGCTGAGGGACCAGGTCTGTGTTCTGCATGCAGCTGCACATGGTGTAGCATTTCAAAAGAGGCGTCAGCACATCATGTCTATTCAAAGAGGTCACCTTAGCAAAGGGCAATTCTTGAAAGCCTCAGTCGACATCAAAAGCAAAATGTCTTAATTGTTCCATTTAAATTATAAAATGCTATTTTTACAGAGTGAACAAGCACCTAGTGTAATAGTTAAACCCTTGATCCATTGTTATTCAGAGCCTTGTTTGTATTAATTAGAAACTTCACAGGTATTGCTAATAAACAAAAGATATTTTAAATAAACATTTCAAACAATGTTTGCTGTATGACCCTGCCTGCTATCTTTTAATAGTTCAAACAGAAAGAAATTGGCAAATAATTATGAGCTACAGAGTTCTGCTGGTTAAAAGTGTAAAACTATTGAATGATTTTAAAAGACTTTTTAAATAAGACATTAATAATGGAAATTAAATAGTCAAAATGTAAATTAAAATGTAATTTTTAACATAAAAATCCAGGAGGCCTTTAACAAATTGAACTACACTGAGAACTGCCAATATATTCTCTGTGCCTATAAACATTTAAAAATTCTATTTACATTAAACTTCTTTGGGAGTTGGGATTAAAAAGCTAACCCTCATTCTATATTTGAAAATCTCTGTATAGGAAAGCATTGATATTATCTTTTTTCCCCTAGATAAATCAGAAGCCAACTCAGGCAGGGTTCGGGTGAAGGCTGAGCCTGTCTGACCCAACAGTGACGAGCAGTAGCTGGCAGTGGGCTCAGCGGCCGGAGGATCCCTGGGCTGCATCTCTCGGAGGCTGTTCTGCAGGCCCCGCAGGCACAGCCGGGCCGGAGGCTGCCTCCGACGCTGGAGCCCTGGGTGATGGGCAGCTGAGCGTGGGGGGTGGGGAGGCCAGTGGGAGTGACCAGGGCTCCAGAGCCAGGCCAGGGACAGTGCTCCTTGCCTGGCTGGTCTCAGGAGGAGGGGAAACTCACAGCTGGTCAACAGCCCCTGGCGGGGCTGCATCAGCCACGTCCACTCCCAGGGGAAGCAGTCACCGAGCCGGAGTCACGCTGCAGCACAAAGGCCCTGGTGTCTGTCCGACCACCAGACGGACAAGCCCCGTCTTCTGCGGCCGAGTCTGCCTGGAGGCCAAAGGCCCTGGTGTCTGTCCGACCACCAGACGGACAAGCCCCGTCTTCCGCGGCCGAGTCTGCCTGGGGGCCAAAGGCCCTGGTGTCTGTCCGACCACCAGACAGACAAGCCCCGTCTTCCGCGGCCGAGTCTGCCTGGAGGCCAAAGGCCCTGGTGTCTGTCCGACCACCAGACGGACAAGCCCCGTCTTCCGCGGCCGAGTCTGCCTGGGGGCCGAGGGGTCGTGAGCCCTGAGCAGACGAGCTGGAACTCAGCTCTGCTCGTCCGTCTTCACGGAGGGTGGCGCCATCAGAGGACAATCAAAGAGCCCAGGAAAGGCTGCGCCCAGCAGCATGCGGAGGTGACGAGTCCTCTCCCCAGAGTGCCAGCAAGGCTGGGCTAACGGTCCTGAGCTGTCTCAGCGCTCCAGAAGCTGAGCAAGCCCCTCCTGCTCTGCCGCGGGGGCCTCACCCCCGAGGGGCCGGCTGGGCCTGAGTGAGGGCGTCCCGGCTGTGGCCCCGGGGCGGGCAGCACAGGCTGTTGAGGAGTAGCCAGCGCTGCCTGGGGATTCCACAAGCCGGACCGGCCGGTGGGACTTTAACAAGATTTCATGTCTCCAAGTTCCCAGAGGCCTGGTGAGACCCAGAGGGGCCTCGAGTCACCACACAGCCTGGCCAGTGGAGCTGGGGCCGCAGGAGAAAGAGACGCCCCAGGGCGAGAGCTGGGCCGTCAGCCTTGGCCGCGGCCAGGGTGGTCAGGCACCTGTGTGAGCCGGCCCTCCTCTGCCTGCCCAGCCTTGCAGACACGCGCAACTCCTAGGCACCCAGCTTCTAAAAAGTCAAAAGAAAGGAAAAAAACCTCAGCAGAGACGTCAGTGCTGCACAATGAGAATGACTAAACAAATAAACACAGAACAATAACAACAACAGTTCCCTCGGGAAAAGTCATAACCCCGAATTCCTACCCCGTGTTACATAAAGCAGCCAGTGGGCAACAAGAAGTGAGAAGACACGCAGAGAAACAGGAAATCAGTCCCTGGCCCAGGAGGAAGGCGTATCCCCGACCTGGGGTGGGACCCTCTGGGCAGAAGACCGCGTGTTCCCCGACCTCTGGGTCTGGGGGCTGAGCTGCTTTCCCTGGGTGGTGGTGGGGGCTCAGCATGCTCTTATTAGCTTGAAACAGTCCCCAGACCCATCACTTGCAAGATTACCTGTGTCCCCCTGAGGACTCCGCCCTTCCTGGTGACTGATGCACAACTAGGGTCCGGTAGAGGTGCCAGCCTGGCGTGGTGGGTAGTGCAGACTGGGTCGAAAACCCTCAGAATTGGGTCTTCATAGTTACGGCTGGAAAATGCACCGGCCGGCTCCGCTCTAAACCTCCCGGGACTCCCAGACAGCATGGGTCCCAGTCAGCCCCGGGTAATGGACTCTGGAGTCATCAGCAGAGCTCCCAGAATCAGGGCACGCAAGAACCAGAAGCAGAGGGGTTCGGAGCCACTCCCCGGGTCCCGAGCCCTCCTTCTCAGGCAAATGTGTGGCAGCCAAGTCACCGCCCCAGCCCTGAGTGTGGAATCGGGAAAACTCGGACCAGGGCCCAATGACTGAGGGGCTGGGTGTCCTCGGGCGTCAAATGGGAGGAGGGGGGGAGGGAAGAGGAGGGACAGGGTGGGCTTCCAGGGACCCTTCCTCGGCGCTAGGAAGGTCCCCATGGGGTGGGGGGCTGCTGGAGACAGTACTGGATGTGTGTGCGTCTCGGGCTGTGGGTGTGGCTGCATGTGCAGGGTGTGCATGTGTGTCTCAGGAGGGTGTGTCTCAGGAGCGTGTGTCTCAGGTGTGTCGTATGTGTGCATGTCTCAGCTGTGTGCAGCCCCGTCTCTGGACGTGGGTGTCAGACACCACCTCACTCCTGGGTGCTGACACTGGGTACCCTGCCCCCTGGGGTCCCGGGCAGTGGGATGTGTGTCTGGAGAGGACTCAACGCCCGGCTGTGAGCCACACAGCAAGTCCATCAGCCTCGGGACACCATGTGAAAACTCTCATCTCTCTAAACCATTGGCCAAGCAGATTTTCTAAAAGACAGAAAGGAAAATCAACACAGCTGTTCAGAAATGGGTCAGAGGGCTGGCTCTGAGGCTCCTCTGGCCCCCGGAGGGCCGGTCCGCGCAGAGGCCCTGGTCCTGGGACAAGAGGCACCTGCGGGCAGTTTTCAGGATGGTTGTTTCCACAGTAAACTCTCCAAGAACCTGTGCAGCAGGAAACACCGCAGTGTAACCCACACCGTGAGGAGAAGGATATTCGATGCCGACGTCCAGTGATTTGATGCTAAGCTGTGCTCCTGTGAACAGTCCCAGTTCACACACCGGTTCACCAGGAGCTTGTGTTGTGCTTCCCATGTGGAGGAGCGAAGACTCGAAGAAGCACAACACAGGTGGTTCGGCCCACGGCCACGGGGCTCGGACGGGATCAGGACCAGGTCAGGGGGTGGGCGTCTCTGCCCCCACAGAGCTCATGTCCCAGCATGGAGCTCACACACCAAGAGCCACCAGGAGAAATGTGGGGTCCAGGGGGTCTTAGAGAAAGTGACGGCCCCTCCTGGGGTCCTGGGGGGTCTTAGAGTAAGTGACAGCCCCTCCTGGTGTCCAGGGGAGTCTTAGAGTAAGTGACAGCCCCTCTTGAGGTTCCGGGGAGTCTTAGAGAAAGTGAAGGCCCCTCGTGGTGTCCAGGGGGGTCTTAGAAAAAGTGATGGCCCCTCCTGGGGCCCTGGGGTGGGGGGTCAGTGGAGCAGAGACCATGGGGCGCAGCAGCTCCGAGTGGCGGCCGGGGACTCTGAGACAAGCAGCGCAGTGGCTGGACAAAGCGGGGGTAGAGCGGGTGGGAGGGCCTGGCGGGGAGTCAGGGCTGGGCAGGGGTACCGGGGGTGGGCTCTGCTCCCCGGAGCTGAGAGCAGAG